AAAAAAAAACATACTAGTAGCCTTACCAAATCAGCGCTCAGAACCTTTTTTTTTGGTTAGAGGAGGAGGATGGGTGGGAGACACCACCTAGTTCTAAAAAAGGAAATGTACAAAGTGTTCATAGTTTTAGTGCTTGAAACAATGTCCCTAGAAACCCAACTCAGATTGATGTCCTGCTTGATGGCTCCTAACAAGAAACATACAAGTGAACTTTTCCTCTGATATCAGCGATCTTCCTCATTCGCAATCATATGTAAGGGACCTGTGTGACGACATGACCCTGTAGGTGGCAATCTCACATGGTGCAACATGTTTTAGTTGGCAGTGATCTTTAACTGCACATACCTTTCCAGGATGCTTTCCCTACAGAAGGGCAGCAAACTCTTCAATATCAAAGGATGAAATGCAACCTCCATAACCACTACACTACTGCATTAGTTTAACAGCCAACTGCAAGCTTGTCAGATCTTCCAATTCTCAACCGACTGTAATACGTGATGAACTCTCTGAGCCTTTCTTGTGCTTACAGCATAAAGCCTGCTCAAATTGGTAGTAACTGCGCCATGCTACATTTCTCTGTTTAGTCACAACTGGTTTCAAATTAATAAATGAGCCTCCTAGCTACTATAATAAAAAAGCCCAAAATTAAAGTCCAACAAGAATGTAAAAATCAGCATCCGCCACATTGGAATGTAAGCAAAAATATGCTATTCAGGTCGTTGATATTGTACAATACAGCTCATTCAAATAGATCAGGTGGATCCATACCTTCACCTTTTCCTAACAAAACAAGCATTGATCTCCATTTTGACAACTTTAATTGACCCAGCATTCACAGAAGGTGAAGGAGTTTCAGGCTTCTAATGTCATTTGGGCAAAACGGCATTTATAAGTTTCAGTCCAGAATGAATCGAGCCGAAGACATCATGATTATGCTCACCAGATGAGGTTGCTTTGTAGTCGCTTCTCTTTGAGAGCGCTTTCCGACCCCCTACTTCAACTTAGAAGGACTTAGTCAGCAGGCATATTGGAACATGATCACCTGCAAGTTACCTTTCAAGCTTCCAAATGATTGAGTACAAAAATCAAAGCCGGCATTCCACTGCAATACCAAAGGAGTGCAGTTACTGTCATCTGGAGGGGCATTGAACAGAGATCCTGTCTACCCTCTCAGGTGGGGCTAAAGGATCCTATGACACTGTTTTGAAAAACAAACAGGAAGTTCTTCCTGGTGTCTTGAAGAACATGAATCCCTCTGCAACAACATAACAAAATCAGACTACTTTGAATTCAAGTATCTAGTTTTAAGGTCAGTGTCATATGACATTGTTGGAGAAATAACGGGAAGGAAATCCTTTCTTGGTCTGACCTGTGTGGGATTCCAGACCCACAGCAATGGGGCTCACTCTTAACTGCCCTCTAAAATGACCATGTTCAAGTGGCAATTAAGGATGGGCAATAATGTTAGCCCAGCTAGTGACATCCTGACCCCATTAATGAATAAAAGAGGACTTCTGTGGCACAGTGGTAGTTCTCCTACCTCTATACTGGGAGTGCAAAGTTCAAGTCCCACCTGCTCCAGAGGTGTCTATAACATCTCTGAATGTTGATAATAAAGTATCTAAATGCTAGACATAAATAACACATTGATCAGCATCTGAAGAAACAGTTGCTAATGATGTGGCTGATATTTCTAGCATTTTTTTGTTCTTATTCAATTATATTAACGTGGCTTCCCAGACATTACAAATTTAAATGCCACTGAAACAAAAAAGTCCATCAAAAGCCTACACCAAGGTATTATGAAATGTTCCTGAATTTCCTGGAAGAGATTTCAATTAGAGTTCAGGAAGAATTTTATATATCTGTATAGTACATGCAGTTACAATTAGATTTATGCAAATTTAATTCATAGCTTTCAATACAGTTAGTCAATCTCACATTGTAGAGCATTTCTCCAGATTAGATTTTGCTGGTCCCACAACAAACCACATGCTAAACAGTCAATTAGAATCTAGAAAAGGTTCTAGTGATCTCTGGATAGTGTCTACATTCACTACAAATATTGCAGCACTAGATGGCGAAAACAGCAAAGAATTCATTGTTTCACAAACACCACCAGCGCAGTATTTTGAAACCCTTAATTCAGGAACCAAATACTTAAATAAACAAGTAATCCCTAAGCCAAACTAAATGAGATTTATTTTTAAATTAACTTCCTTCTTAATCTGTTATTTGAAAAGTATGCACACTTTTGAACTTCAGCTCCCTATACACTGTATCCAAAATTAACTAAACACGATTTGGGAACTCAAATGAATGGAAGACTGCCACAACATGTCAGAATCATTATCTGAATAGGGCTTTCTACCTTGAGGCTGCTTTTCCATCTTCATGCATTGGAATAACTTCTTAATGCTCATCATTTTAATAGAAAGGTCTGAGAGTGAGAGACTGGAATTTTAAGTATTTTAGTAATGGAAGCTGTTGGGGGTTTTGTTTTTTTTAAAAAGCAAAATTGATAGTTTGCTGAACTTTATGCCACTTCTGATTATATGTCCCCGCTAGAAGGTACAGAACTATGATTCAGGAGGATCTGCCAAGTCTAAAGATGTACAGGTTAGGTGGATTGGTCATATTAAATTGCCCTGTGGTGTCCAGGGATATGCAGGCTAGGTGGATTAGCCATGGAAATGGGAGTTTACAGGGATAAGGCGAGGTGCTGGGTCTGGGTGAAATGCTTTTCGGAGGGTCGGTGCGGACCCAATGGGCTGAGTGGCCTCTTCCACACTGTAAGGATTCTATGGTCTAACCATTGCAGTGTGGATGTTGAGCTTTAATTTAAAAACTACTCAATCACAAGTAATATTTGGAAGCGGAGGGTAGAGAAATGCAGAATACACCCATATTGGACTCTTTTGTTCCTTTCTGTCAGCTGTCGATAGCACGTCATTAAATTTCTAAATCTTTGTAAAAGTTGTAGTATCAAATCGATGTTACATGCATCATTTGGTACATTTGCCAAAGTATCAAGTATGCTTTGCTTAAATAAGAACATGAAGTCAAAATGTTTAAAGAACTTTACAGCTAAAGCTATAACATGAAAATAAAAAAAAATTAGGTTCTAAATTTACACATAGCAAAGCATCACAAAGAATGTCATAAGAATGTCACCAAATGGAATAAAACATAAGCTCTCCCTTAACATTATTCATAGAATACCGATCAGAAGTGTATCGAGAAGAATTCATTAGGGCATGAGGAAACAAATTATAAATATTAATAACATAAACAGGGAAACCCAGCTGCAGGATTATCTCTGACCTCAAACCTGAAATTCCCAAGCATGGAGTATGGGTTGCACAAACACGGGTGAAGAGAAGCCTAAAGTCTTTACTGGCCTAAGTCATTAACACTATTTGCGTTGAAAAGATGCCTACCCCTCTTTCTCTAGCCCCAGCATTGAAGTCAGCTGGGTACATTTCAAACAAGAGCTAACAGCTTTAGGCTTAAGGGCGGCAAATTTAAAGCAGACAGCAAGAAGAATTACCTTTCTAAAAGGAATTAAAATCTGTTGAATCTGCGGACACTGGGATAGTGAATAAATTTAAGGAACAGATAGATTTTTAATTAGTAACAGATTAAAGGGCAATGGGGAGCAGGCAGGAAAGTGGAGTTGAGGTTGAGATGAGATCATCATGATTGTATTAAACAGCAGAGCAGGCTTGAGGGGCTGAATTGCCCACTCCTGCTCTTCTTAGGTATTTTAAACAACTGTACAAGCAAGTGACAAAAGTAGTTTCATAAAGGCCTGAACAATGGAAGAAACACCTGCTACAGTCAGTCATTTATCAAAAAAGCACATATTTAACCTGAATCACACAAACCATCTTTTAGCTATATTTTAACTTAATCACTTTCTGTTTAATTCATTAAATTGGATATTAGGGCAGCACAATGGCTCAGTGGTTAACATGGGTTCAATTCCAGCCTCTGGCTACTGTCTGTGTGGAGTTTGCACATTCTCCCCATGTTTGCATTGGTTTCCTCCAGGTGCTGTAGTTTCTTCCCACAGTCCAAAGATGCACAAGTAAGGAGATTGGCCATGTTAAATTGCCCATAGTGTCCAGGGAGGTGCAGGCTAGGTGAATTAGCTGTGGGAAATGCAGGGTTACAAGGATGGGTCTGGGTGGGGTGCTCTTTGGAGGGTCAGTGTGAATTTGATGGGCCGAATGGCCTGCTTCCACGCTGTAGGGATTCCATGATTAACAGCTTTTCCTTTCAGTCCATTCTGTATTTCAAATGTAAAATTTCATATATGCACAGACCTAAAAACATTGGGAGGGAAGGCTCTAGTTGACTGAAGTAAATGTCCAAAAAGGAGCAAAATTTAAAGAAGCAACTGAGAGATGAAAAACCTCTGTAAAGGCAAATATGTTGGACAGATTTTGAAAAAGATCAAGTTTTTTGGGCGACATGTTTAAACTTCTGAAATATTTTTGCACATTGCAACACCAGCCTTACTTTTCAGCATTATTTTTCAAGTTAACAAAACAAAATGGCTGCTGAAAAAAACTTCCAAAATGTTTAAGTCACGTCACTGGTTTACTTTCTCCAATTTTTCAGTTTTATATTGATAAAGATTTGGTAATCTTCATTGGGAAATGTTTCTTTCTGCTTGCTGTTTGTCCATTAGTGAATGTTCTACTTGTGTAAGTTATATTATGGGCCTAGCTTTGTTTAATTTACACCAATTGGTTCCTTTTTTTACAAGGATGAAATTCTGGCAAATGAGATTCAACTATAACACAACGCTGAGCATACATGATACATTGATATTCAGACACACATGATACAAACTACATGACAATTCTAAATATATACCAATTAATTAATTGAATAAATCAATATCTGCAAATTTATAGCAGCGCAGCCATCACAACAAAGTAAATTGTATAATGTTGCACTATTTGGAACTTTTAATCCAATTTTAGCAGTACCTTTGTAGCTTTCTCTGCTTCGGTTAGAGGCCGTATTCTGTAGCACGGCGTGATGTCTTTAAAGACCTCCGACAAAGATACCATCACCAGTTTTCGTACTGTTACTGCAACATTTGGATCTCTTTCCATGAGCATTGAACGCAGTTCCTTCAGTTTTTTTATCTGTGAATAGAGTAATCTCTTTAGATAAATTTATCTAATCTCTCAAATTAAACATTGCTCCAAGATACACATACTTTTAAAATTACAAAGAAAATTCAGAAAAGATACAGATTTTAATAAAATCACAATGGACAACAAGCACATATTTCAGTTACAGGAGAACTAGCAAAGGCATTTTTACAAATATGTATAATAATCATAAGAGGGAATAGTACTAGTAGACTAGAAGGAAGTGTTATGGACCAGACCAAAGCTCCTGCAAATATATCAAGGAGATAGCCTAGACCCTAACTTCTATCTTATTTAAAGGCAAGTGTAGGGTGGTGTGTTCCAGATATAAATCAATTAGTCACACTTGACAGCTTTAAGCAAAAAGCTCACTTTATTCTTAGCCGCAGTTAAAACACAAAAGAAATAAGAATTGGTATAAGTTTTCCAATAGAGTTAAAATTAATAATAGAATAATAGATTATTTAACAACTAAACAGATATGTTCAAAATAGTAACATTCCATAAACACACCCTTGGCAAAGGCAAAGTCCAAGTCAGTAAAACAGAATGTCTTACAAGTGATTCTAGCAGCAGAAAGGGAACCCAAGCTTTTAGCTGCCACAGAGACTAAATTCTGGTAGAGAGAGAGAGAGAGCTTCCACAGCCAACTTCAAAACCCCAACAACTGCTGAAAGCTAAACTAAAAACCCTGGTTCTGTGGGAGCCTTACTCCATCCATTCATGCTGCTTGTATTGTTCTAACTTTATAAAAACCCAAGGCCTCACAAGGTATATACTTTATTGGCTTTGAACAGACAGCTCACCAATAACAGTTCAAAACCTCTCTTCAAAAAGAAACAGGTCAAAACAAACCTATTAAAGCCATAATATTGTCACAGCAGGAAATAGCCAGGCAGGGCAATAACTTTCAATTCCTCTCTGGCACAAGGTAGGTGCCAGAGGACCGGAGGACAGCCAATGTGGTGCTGTTATTTAAGAAGGGAGGAAGGGATAAACTAGGAAACTACACGGAAATGGTGGAAAACTATTGGAAGCAATTCTGAGGGACAGAATTAATCTGCACTTGGAAAGGCAGAGATAAATGAAGAACAGTCAGAAGGCTTTGTTAAGGATAGGTCAAGCCTAACCAACTTGAATGAATTTTTCAAAGAGGTGAACAGGTGCATAGATGAAGGCAATGCATTTTTATGCAATCTACTTGACTTCAGCAAGGCTTTTAATAAGGTCCCGCATGGGAGAACGATAGCAACGGTAAGAGTCCAAGGGATCCAAGGAAATTTGGCTATTTGGATTCAGAATTGTCCAAATGGCAGGAAGCTGCAAAAGTAACCGCTGAGGTATGTTTTTGTGAGTGGCCTGTAACCAGTGGGGTTTTTTAGGGATCAGTGTTGGGACCCTTGCTATTTGTGGTATATATAAATGATTTAGACTTGAAACTTACAAGGGTTGATCAGGAAGTTCACAGATGATACAAAAATTTGGGAGGCGGTAAATTGTGACAAAGGTAGCCTTAGATCACTGGAGGATATAAATGGGGTGGTCAGATAGGCTGATCAGTGGTAAATGCAATTCAATGGAATTCATTTCGGTTAAGTGAGAAGTGATGCACTTGGGCAGGTCAAACAAAGCAAGCGAATACATGATTAACAATAGGACCCTGGGAAGCACTGAGGAACAGAGGGATCTAGATGTGCACGTCCACCAATCCCTTAAAGTAGCAGGACAGGTGGATAAAATGATCAAACAGGCATATGGGATACTTAACCTCTATGCATTGACTAGTAAAGTCAAGAGCAAAGAGGTTCTGTTAGAACTGTACAAAATGTTGCTTAGGCCACAGCTACAGCTGTGTATGCAGTTCTATAATCTACATTACAAGAGGGATGTACAAAGGGGTTTTAACAGGATGTTGCCTGGGCTAATGGGTTTTTGTTATGAAGAGATACTGGATAGACTGGGTTGTTTTCCTTGGAGCAGAGGAGACTGAGGGGGGGACATAATTAAGATGAATAAAAGTTAAGTGTGATATAAACAGCAAGGAAATTTTCCCCTTGGTGGAGGGGTCAATGATCAGGGGGCATAGATTTAAGGTAAAGGGCAGGGGGTTTAGAGGGGATGTGAGGATTTTTTTCATCCAGAATATGGTGGGAATGTGGAACTCACTGCCTGTAAGGGTGGTAGAGGCAGAAATCTTTATAACATTTCAGCAGCATTTAAATGTACATTTGCAAGGTCAAGGCATACAAGGCTATGGGCTAGTAAATGGGATTAGAATGTTAGGTGGTTATTTTTGACCCGTGATGATTCAAAGGGCCAAAGGACCTTTCTCTGTGTTGTAGACTTTGATGATCGTAAGAGTTTCCTGCACGGTTAATGTGATCCTATAAATGAAAAGGGAAGAGCTACAAGTTTGACAGCTACAAATCAATTCAGTTGTATGAAAAATAATGAAATTCTTACTCAGGAAAATAACAGAGAGACAGTTAGAAACTTGGACTATAACAAGTATAATCAGCTCAAGCTTAAATAACCTTATTGAATTCTTTAAGTAATGAAAGGACTGTTGAAGGCAATGCAGCAGACACAAGATATTTAAATACCCTAAGATCATGATTATGGTTCCACAGAGTGAAATCATGATTAATGTCACAGCATGTGGAGATAGGGGGCTAAAGCCAGAACAATCTGGCTACAAAACAGGATAAGAGAGAGTAGGAGTTAACTGGTAGTTACTCAGATTGGCAAAGGGTGAGAAGTGATGTTCTGAATCAGTGTTGGGACCACTGTTACTCAGCACTTACAGGGGGGATTTGGACCAGGGAATCCGAGGTACGATTTGAACATTAGTGGAGGACGTCAAATTCATGGGTGCAGTTAAGAGAGAAGAACTGCATCAAAATGCAGAAAGACATATATTAACTTCCATGCATAATTAGCAAATTACCTTCTGCATAGCTAAGTGAGAGTTAGCAGGTTTTAGTAGAAAGAATAATATGTGAAAATAAATGCCTAAAAAGTGCAAATAAATTTAAGGGTACACCCACACATATAATATATGGATATAATATATATAAAAAATATAAATATTTTATATATTAACCCAAGTTGCTACTTTTAGTGATACGGCCATGAATAACATTTGTCCCAGGCAATGACCATTTCCAACAAGAGAGAATATATCCACTGCTCTTTAAGGTTCAAAGGCGTTACTAACACTGAAACCTCATTATCAATATCCTTGCTTATCACTGATCAGAAATTGAACTGGGCCAGGCATATAAATCCTAAGCAATAAAAGCAGGCCACAGGCTAGGAATTCCGCAACAGATAATTCACTTCCTGACACCCCATACCTATCTACTGTCTATAACGCACAAGTCAGGAGCATAATGGAATTGTCTTCAGTTGCCTGGATAGGTACAGCTCCAACAAGACTCAAAGCCTGGCATCATTCAAGACAAAACAGCCCACTTAAATGGCACCTCACCCACCATCTTTAACAATTTCCCCTTGCCGTTGACATATAATGGCAGCAGTGTGTACCATCTACAAGATGTACTGCAGTAACTCCCCAAGGCTCCTTCAATAGCACTTTCTAAACTCATTCCCTCCACCATCTGGAAGGTAGTACATGCATGGGAACACCACCGCTTGCATGTACCCCTCCAAGTTGCACTCTATCCTGACTTGGAACCATAACATCATTCCTTCACAGTTACTGATCAAAATGCTGGAATTTGTTCCTAAAAGCACTGTGTACATCCCTACACCCCAAAGACTCCAGCGGTCCAACAATGCAGCTCACATGCCATCTTCTCCAGGCCAATTAGGGATGAGGAATAAATGGTGGCCTAGCCATGAATGAATACAAAGAATTTATCCTCAGCATGTAGAGAGCCTTGGGTGCAGTACCACTTTGAGCTCTAGGAAGAGTTCTGACATTCATATCACAGAAATTAGACAGAGGCACTGGAGAAAGGTCAGAGTAAAATTCTTGGAACGATGTTGGAACTGGGAGATTATACATTTCAGGAAAGAATCCAAGCTTGACCAGGCTGGGGCTCTTCTGTCTAGAAAGGAGAAGACTGAAGGGTAACCTCACGGAGGTCTTTAAAATTATAAAGGGTTTTGACAGGAGTGGACACAGAGGAATTTGATGGAGATGACAGATGTCTAATCAGAGACTCTGGCTGATGTCAAGCAACGACTGGAGGAGCAGCAGAGGAGCAACAAGATGACGAGAAAAAGATGAACGCTGTTGCAGAATTAGCAAGAGCTTGGTGAGACCTCTTAACTAAGGCTGGCCATATCATATGTCACCCTTAACTGGGCAGTAGTGGGCCTTCCCTTAAGATTAACGTCATCCGGGAGAAAGCCCTGTTCTGGACTGCCAGATAATCAGGATCAGCAGCTTGAATGAACAGGATCACCACTGAAATGATGAAGGCTGTTGCCAATATGTCACCAAGCCTAATATCGTCACAAACCACAGTGAAATGATGGAAGTGAGATGAGGTTGCAAGCGTGGTACAGAGACAGCTACTAGGACTAAACATGCTAAACAAGCGGGCACTAAATGCCATCTGATGTTTCCATTTGCAGTCGCGAGCAGAAAGACATCATAAATAGAAGGTTCTATACATGTTGCTATACAAACAATTAACATTTTTTTTGAGCCTGGCCCTGATCTCTATGTATAACTTTAACTTCTACTTAGAAGGTCTTCAAGGTGACAGGACAAATTTTATGTGAGGCTAAGACCTGAAACGTATTAAAATGTATTTAAATCTTTGAAATATGTTTAACTAATTCCATTTTTGATTAGCTTTCAAATAACTGATGTAGTTTCAAAGAATAAGTGAACATTATGACATTTATACATACAAGTTAGTTAGCCTGTGCAATGACAGGCTTGCTGCTAAGGTGTTCTGCATGAATATCAAAAAATACCTAATATTGTAACACCACTTCCATTGGGCTCAATGTCCTAAATGCCAGCAGATTCTTGCAGAGGATCACGGCACAGCAGCTCAAATTCAATCCACTTTACAAAGCCGCCAAAAGTACTAAAGTCAAATCAATAAATATTTATATTTATAGAAACTGAGTTACACTGAGGCTACCCAAAATACTCCCATATCCTTCAGTTTCTCAGACACAATTATTACTGCAGCAACGCCAGGACAAGCTGGATACAGCTCCACCCCTGCGTGGGCTCTCCCAGCAAGGGAAGAGCAGGTCCCGGGCTGACTCCCCTAGATTGAGCTAAGGTTCCAGTCTGCTGCTAGGACCCGGCAGCTGAAGGAGCAGAAACATCAGTGAAAGGGAAGGACAGTGAACCGGCGGCAGGTTCGGGAACAGCGTCGGATTGGGAACAGGAGGTATGGAACCCGTGCACCCCAGGCCCATAGCTCCAGCTCAGATGCAGAGGTCGCAGGAGTGGCAGCAGCATAGGCCATTATAGAGTCCCAGAAGGCTGTTTCAGAGACTCCGGCTGATGTCAAACAGCAACTAGAACAGCGGCAGAGGAGGAACAAGAAGAGTGTAAGACAAACTCTAATTTAGTAAGATCTTGCATTATATTCATTGTTTCAAGATGGCGGAGCATGCCGACACATTGCATATAATACGTGAAAAAACACTTTTCACTGTATTTTTACATACATGTGACAATTAATCTAAGTTTAAATTTAAATCTTATCTGGTACAGTTTAAGATATTTTTCTACACCAATGTAAGTTCTTACATTGTTGTCTGGTTCAGTCAAGATGGATGATGCCAAAGTGGCTATGTGGATCTTCTTCTCTTGTAACGTCTGTCTTCTCATCAGTAGCAACTCTTCCGTGGTCAACTTTTGACGAGGCTCCTTTAAAGCAAACATTTCTTCTCCTGCATATTTAAAAAAAAATTCTATTGTAATCTTTCCAAGCAAGTAATCAGCAAATTCTTTTACATTGTCATAAAATATATTAAGATAATGAATTTAAATTTGCTCAGATTTTTCTTTGGAACTGTCTTTTATTTTATTCAACATTTGCAACAAGAAATAATTTTCAATAGTCAATCTTGAGCAGGAATCAAACCCACCTTTTGGAGATGAAAGAGAACCACTTGGTCCCATAATCTAAACATATTATTGACAATCACAACTTTGATTACAAGGAAATTTGTGTACATTTCTTACAAACATTTAAAACATCCACAATTGTGTAAGCACTTTTTCCTTTCAAGAAGCTCTACTTCAGCAACTGCATACAACAAAACAAACTGAAAAGCTGCTTGAAATGCTGGTTTCATGAAGGTCAAAGATTTTGTATATTACTAAAATAAAAGTTAGGAGGCCTCATGCCGCCATTTATCAACTGATATTACCAAAGAGCAGCTTAACTAGTCATCTTGCATGTTACTGTTAGGGTGATAGATCTGTCTGCAAGAAAGGTTGCTGCACCTGCCAACAAAATAACTCATGTTTTAAAATTAATTACATGTGGAACATTTTAGAATAGACAGGATGTAATCTTCTCTCTTTCAGCGTTTGGATCTGGAATTGTCACTAGGTTGCATTGTTATTTCAAGTGCAATTCAGCAAAAATTGTACAAGTCTGCAGGCCTGTGGAGTGCTCCTTGAAATTAAGCAGTATGTTTAGCACAAGATCACTAATAGTTACCTTGAAAATTAAACTTTTATTTTTAATATACTTGGAAACAGAATACTGTACTTAAGCATAACTAGTAAGCAAGTGGTTCTGACTGGCATTGCTTATTTAAGGTGAGAGGGGAAAAGATTTAAAAGGGACCCGACGGGCAACCTTTTCATGTAGAGAGTGTTGCATGTACAGAACAAGCTGCCAGAGGTGGTGGAGCAGGCAGGTACAGTTACAACATTTAAAAGGCATCTGGATGGGTACATGAATAAGAAGGGTTTCAGAGGGATTTGGGCTAAATGCTGGCAAAGTGGACTAGATCTGTTTAGGATATCTGGTCAGCGCGGAGGAGTTGGACTCCTTGCTGTATTACTCTATGGTCAATCAGATGGAGGAGTACACACAGGTTAAAAATGTTTTTTTTTTTTAAATAAACCCATAAATCTGTATTAGTAAAACTGCACCATACTGCAGCTCCTAAATATAAATTTACCAACAGATTTAAGAACAGCTTCTTCCCTGCTGTTATCAAATTTATGAACGGACCTCTCATATATTCAAGTTGATCGTTCTGTGAACCTTCTCTGTAACTGTATCACTATATTCTGCATTCTGTTCTCTTACCTTGATGTAATTATGTGAGGTTTGATTTGTCTCGATAGCACACAAAACAATACTTTTCACTATTTCTCGATACATGTGACAAAAATAAATCAAATCAAAATCAATTCAAAATATGGCTGGGGATATTCCTTCACACAAAATGTGCCCAATTAAAGCATGTTCTAAAATGCTGCCTAATACACTGGTACTTGGAAGAGCGCATTTTGCTCGTCTGCAAATTCGTTTGAGAGGAACACTAATAACCAATCATATTTTTGACTATAACTTAGGCCCGGATTGCCAATTGCTCCCAAAGTAGAAACTCTTGGCCAATATATGTAATATAAAAGTGAGTTGATGTTTGTATTGTGGCAAACCTTCACAGTAATCTGTTGCTATTTAGGAATATGGTACAAGTTAAACAATGGCCAATGTGATGCACATTTCACATGTGTGAAGTTCAAATGTGATATTTTACACATAGCTGATTTTTTAAAATATGTATTAAAATTATTTCCTTACTTTCCTCTTGCTGCAGATTTTCCTCAGTCATTTCTTCTTCTTGTTCATCCATTAGGACTAGAGAAAGTATATTAACAGTTAGTATCAACAATACACGTAGGCACAGCAACTGAGTATATTAAAAAGTACATACTGATATGATTGCAATACAAGTACTGAAATTATAAAGGCATTTGGGAAAGTCAGCAATTTTAATCTTGTGACAAATATTTGTTGACACAGTAAACTGCAATACTTCATTAACACAAATCCAATTAAAATAAAAACCAAATCACTAATAAAGCATGCTTCAATTGCTAAGCCATCTTGTAGCCCTTAAAGGCTGTTTACCAGAAGATCCTTATTATTAAAAATACAATGTCCCATTACATCTTAAGAGACTACTTATTTGCATTAATTTGAAGTCTACTGCAATGTTTCAGCTAAACTGCATAATAGAACATGAATTTAATTCCTTTGGGAAATGATTACTTATGGTAACTCATTTAGGAATCAAGAGTTATATGGGTGTTATATCTACCAGAGATAATTTTATTTAACCTGTTTTGCACTATCAAGGAGCAGAAATAAACATAGTATTTTCTTACTTGGCTTCTCTACCGATTGAGGAATTATACCCCTTTTGTCTTTAATAGGCAATAGGTGGATAAGCTCCTTTTCAGGTTCAGTCTGTAAATATCTTGGCACCTTCTCATATTTTTCCACCTTATTTTCATTCTTTCGTTTTTTCGCATGGATCGGTTCACTGAAATATGACAAATAATTACATCAAAAAGACATCAGCATTTGTGAAGAAAAGACAAAATATTTTCATATTTTTATGTTTTGGACTATGGGCTGAAAATGTGAAGAAAGGTCACTGTTTTCCAAGGGAGAATGTATAGGTTGCTATTTGCAGCTTTGGAAAAACAACTGGAGCTAACTAATGCACATGCAATAATGTTACTTTTGGGGATAAAAAGCCATATGTGTCCATTCAGGGCAACACTGCCAGATACAGTGTTTTGACTGGCTTTTTAATTGGTACCATTTGTTTTGGGCTCAGGAAAGCTCAGCATAGATAACAGGCCTCTGACTGACCAGAGTGCAGTTTGACACACATTCTAAGGGGAGTGAAACAGAAGGTCCAGATGCTTGCAGCATCAACATCTCTCTGTTTCCTGGATCTGAATAACTGCATTCTCCAACTCTATGTTAAAAGAGCAGGGAAAATTACCTTCAGAGTCAGAGTCACTCAGAGGAAGAATATTAAAGACCACAGGAAAAGACCTTGGGTCCAACCAAGCAACTAATGAACTAAAAACTGACAACTGCTGTGCAGGTAACATCAAGAAGTCATCGAGAAATCAAAAGGACTGTAGAGACAACTTATCTCTTTTGTGATTTTAGAATGGTGATTCAGAACTGTGTTCTGACTTTTTTTTTCCTCCTCTTGTGTGTGTGGAGGTGGGTGCTTGTATGTGTAAATATTTAAAAGGGTAAAGTTACATAAATTAGAAATCCTGTTATTTTACCGTTCTTGTTAAAATTAAGTGTGTTACAAAAAATTGTTTATTTATATTGCTACTGATTGAACTCGAGTGTGCTTTGCTTTTACCCAGAGTGGCAATAAGTCAGAGGCAAACTGGGATTCACAGCATTTTCATTAAATCTTGACATCTGTTGTGACTGCAGGAATAGTGAGGTTTGATGTTTAGTGCATTTCAACATCCAATGGACTGTGACATTATAATACAGCAGTACTTGGAAACTAAGAAAATCTTACCTTGAATGAAGATCCCTGGTGAGGAACAATGGCCTGTGGCCCATGCTTTGCATATATTCCAAGTCATCATCTTCCAGCATATCCAAAGGAAGAACATCCTCTTCTATTTCTTCCTCCTCTTCATCTATTTGTATATGTGAACAACAAAACAGGTTAATAATTTGCAGAGCTACAACATACTTTTTGCAGCAACAATGCATAAAAGGCAGTGGCATAGATCATGCAGTAGTAATAGTGAGGCTAACAGCTAATGGTGAAACTAATGTTGTTATGGTGTAAATCTTCCAGACAAGCTTCCAGACTCCGTACATACATAGTTAAATGCTGAAGTTGCTGTCTGACTTATCCTTCTTTTCTACAAACTTTGCTCCATCAGTACCTTGTTGATAAATTTGGCATTAAAATTTAAGCAAAGTTACTGTACTTATCCACTGTGATTAAAAAAAGCTAGAGCCGGGGATTCAAGAGTTAAATTAGTTTTTAAACAACATGATAGGTCTTAATAACTACCAATCCAACTCTCCTGCAATTAAAACTTATTTTTAAGCAAGCTTTAGCTATCATTCTGTCAAAATTTAATTGTTGAGTATTCTTAAAATGTTATTTCTTTTTTCTTTCATCTCTCCCTTAATGCCATTTTCATTTCTTTCAGCTGTACATTATTTTGAATGAAATAAAGACTTTTAATTTCTATTTTTCAACATAGATTCGGTGGCTCAGGAAGCACTTTTTTAAAAAATGTAATCGTATGAAGAGTCATGCTGCTGCTTGTCTTGTTTGTATGTGCCACAGATCTCCTGCAGAGGCAATGCACTGGATCAGCTACCCGATGCAGCAAGTTGCCAAACAGAAGAATGCTGTAAGTCTTTGGGCATCAGTAAACGTACTGAACAAGAAGTCATGTTTCTTCAATGCTGATCTCAAAATCCAGACAAATTAGTAACTGTAGCATCATTGTGTGTTATAGGCCCCCGAACAGTGAGCTGACAATTGAGGAGCAAATATGTAGTCAATTCACTAAGGTTTGTAAAGACAATAACAGGTTAATTATATTAGGGCATTTCAACTACCCCAATATTAATTGTGATAATCATAGTATAAAGGATTTAGTGATGGCATATTTATTGAAATGTGTACAGGAGAGCTTACTACACCAACATGTAGATGGTCCTACAGGGTCAGTGCAGTGCTGCACCTAATTGTTGGGAATGAAGCTGAACATGTGTTCGAGCTGATAGTGGAGGAACATTTCAGTGACAGCAATCACAACCGTATGTTTTGCGTTTGTCATAGAAAAGGAGAAAGATTGTCTGCCAAAAAGGGTATTAGATTGGGGAAAAAGGCAAATTTTATTAAAGTAGGATCTGGCCAACATAGACTAGGAATAGCTACTTGAGGGTAAATCTACAGCAGAACAGTAGGAGGCATTCAGAAAGGTACTGGAAAGAGTACAAGCCCAACACATTTCCCTTAGGGTGAAATGTAGGAGCAACAAGCCCAGAGAAACATGGATGTGTATGGATAGTCATGACTGGATAAAAAGGAAAAGACATACATATAACAGGGACAAAGGGATCAGAACAATAGAGACCTCGGAGGTCACCTATCGACCCCCTCAGCCCATCCTATCTTCTGCATATAAATCGACATTTTCCTAGCTACCATCAGTTCTGAGGAAGGGTCACTGGATCCAAAACATTAACTCTGATTTGTCTTCACAGACTCTGCCGAACCTGCTCAGCTTTTCCAACGAGTTCTTTTTTCTGATTTACAGCATCCACAGTTCTTTCAGTTTTTATTAGGGGGAGGGAATTTAAGAAAATAGTAAAGGAGAAAATGAGTCTCCATTTATAGAGGCAAGGTTTGATCAGGGACAGTCAGCATGGCTTTGTCGGAGGGAGGTCATGCCTAATAAATTTGGTGGAACTTTTTGAGGAGGTGACCAACTGTTTGGGTGAGGGTAGGGCAGTTGACATAGTTTATATGGATTCCAAAAAGGCCTTTGACAAGGTCCCACATGGGAAACTGATTTTAAAAAACGTAAAAGCTCATGGAATTGAGGATAATGTGGCTAAAATGGATCCAAAACTGGCTTAGCGATAGCAGACGGAGGATGATGGTTGAAAGCGGTTTAGGTGACTGGAGCCCAGTGTGCAGTAGCATACCACATGGATCAGTGCTGGGTCCCTTATTAGTTGTGATATTCATAAATGATGTAGATGGGAATGTGGGAGGATGATAAATAAATTTGCAGCTGACATTAAGATTGGCCGTGTGGTTGACAGTGAGGAGAAAGATATTTGGTAATGGGAGGATATAAACCATTGGTCAGGTAGCAGATCAGTGATAGACGGAATTTAACCCGGATAAACATGATGGGATGCACTTTGGAAAAACGAATAAAACAATGATATACTCGCTGAGTGGCAATATACTAGGATGCTCAGAGGAACAGAGGGATCTTGGAGAGTTTGTCCACAGATCCCTGAAAGTGGCAAGACAGGTTTATACGGTGGTTTAGAAGGCATATGAATGCTTGTTCTTATCAATCATGGAATAGATTGTCAGAGCAGAGGAGTCATGTTCGATCCGTACAGGAGTTTAGTTAGGCCACAGCTGGAGTATTACATGCAGTCCTGGTCACCGCACGGTAAGGATATGACTGCACTTGAGGGTTGCAAAGGAGATTCACAAGTATGTTGCTGGGGATGAAACGTTTCAGGTACGAAGAGAGATTCTAAGGTTATAGAGTAGATTTGTAGCTCGGGTTGAGGATGATGTGGTTGGTTGGCTGGCTGGCCGAGCTGGTTCGTTGTTCCGCAGACGTTTCATTACCCTGCTGGGTAACTTCATCAGTGCAGCCTCCAATGAAGTGCTGTTGTGTTTTCCCGCCTGTTATTTAAACTCTGGTATCTGTTGAACTGGATTACCTCACTTCCGGTTTTCCTTCGCAATGGAGTGTATATGGGGTCGAGCTCTACGTGTTTATTGGCGGCCATTAAATAACAGGCGGGAAAACACAACAACGCTTCATCGGAGGCTGCACTGATGATGTTACCCACCAGGGTAATGAAACGTCTGCGGAACAACGAACCAGCTCGGCGAGCCAACCAACCACATCATTAAGCAAGGTTGGATAAGCTCAGGCTATTTCTTTGAAGCAGAGATGATTGAAGTGGGGGGACCTAACAGAGGTGTGTAAGATTACAACAGGCACAGACAGGGTGAACAGAAAGCAACTGTTCCCTTAGATAAAGGGTCAGTAACAAGGAGGCATAATTTTAAGGTGATTGGCAGGAGGTTTAGAGGGGATTTGAAGAAAAATATTTTCACGCAGAGGGTGCTGGGGGTTTGGAATGTACTACCTAGGAGGCTGGTTGAGGCAGGAAACCACAACCTTAAAAAGTACTTGGATGCCCATTCAAGGCTATGGACCCAATGCAGGAAAGTGGGATTAATGTAGTTGTAGTATATTTTTGGCGATACAGACTCATGGGCTGAAAGGCCTCTTCTATACTGTATGATATGATGATTACATATGACGAGTACAAAATTCATTTTAATTCTATTCACTGAACTCACGTTAAATTAGTTCAACTTTCACAGAACTACAAATCTGTTAAAAGAACGTCAATATATAATATTTAAAAAACAAACACCTAATAACTCCTCTTACGCATGGATGTGCATAAGTTAATTTTTGGCAAATAGGTTTGCAGAGCAATCTCTTTATGATAAAGAATTGAGAACAGGGCTCTCACAACAAGGCATAATGTTATTGTCCCTACTAAATAACATGATCTGATTGAATTTAATCCTCAATTGAATGAAACTAATAAGTTTAAACAATCATGCCTATTTGATTCAAATGAACAAAGACAACAGTTGTTCTATGTATGCTTTTTTAAATGAATAAGTGTATGGAATCATGGAATAATATCTCCAAATCAGCAGTAAACCCCTGTTTAATCAGTAATTAAAACAGGATTTTAACTAAGCTGTAAATACTGAAGTCTTGCTTCAATTGTAAAAGAGCTTAGTTGACTAAACCTGTAGTATTCTGTGCAGTTTTGGTCTCCTTATCTCAGGATATTATTGCCATAGATTGAGTACAATGAAGATTCACTGGACTTGTTCCTTTCGAGACTATCTAGTGAAGAAATTACGCAATCAGTGCCCGCATTTTCCAGAGTTTCAAAGAATGAGAAGTGACCTCAGTGAAACTTACAAAATAAACAAAGTAACTGCAGGTAGAATGTTTCCCTGCCTTCAAGTCAACATGGGGCAATAAAACTTGCCTGGTCTTTTCCTTTTCAATTGATCCAACGGTTTTGCTACTTTAGCTGAAACATCTCGAGCAGCTTGTCGTAGTTGTTTCTGCTCTTTCTTATACTTCTTTGCCGCACTTTGCTGTTTGTACTGTTTATTCTTCAACTTATTTGCGAGTTTCACATTGCTAGTCTTCAAAAGCTTACGGAAATTTGGAACTCTCTTTGTATTTTTTCTCTGAAACAGAAGACAGATGGTAATATTCAAGACTATAAATGAGACATACCTTCTAATGTCTTAGCAAGCTTATTCAGTCAGTAATCAAACAGATCAGGAAAAATTCTGTCTTGTGTGGTTGACATATTGCAGTAAACGCAATGGTACAACTGCTTAACAGTGCTTGATGCACACAGAGAAAATGAGCCAGACTTCATGTTTATAATCACTATTCAATGACTCCTGCTGGGTGCTGTCTGACATTACATTGTGTTTGGCTCCGATGCCTGCCGAGATCGAATAACTGCCAACTCCACACGAGTACTCTTGCTTGTGGTATATTAGCAACGTGGAAATGTCCCAAGCAAACTTCAGGCAATTAACAAAAAAAACACTAAAATTAATGCATGCAACAAATTAGCATTGTTCCAGCTTTAATTATCCATTTGACAATATGTTGAAATGTTAATCAGAATACCAAGAATCAAATATGGACAGACAGATAGCACCTTTGTGGAACACCTATGCTCGGTTCGCAACAAACAACTGCACCTTTCAGTCGCAAACCATTTCAACTCCCCCTCCCACTCCTTAGACGACATGTCCATCCTGGGCCTCCTGCAGCGCCACAACGACACCATCCGAAGGTTGCGGGAACAGCAACTCATATTTCACTTGGGAACCCTGCAGCCCAATGGTATCAATGTGGACTTCACAAGCTTCAAAATCTCCCATCCTCTGACTGCATCCCAAAACCAGCCCAGCCTGTCCCCGCCTCCCTAACCTGTCCTTCCTCCAACCTATCCCCTCCTCCCACCTCAAGCCCCACCCCCATCTCCTACCTACCAGCCTCATCCCGACCCCTTGACCTGTCCATCCTCCCTGGACTAACCTACCCCCTCAAACTCCCCACCTACACTCACCTTTACTGGCTCCACCCCCACCTCTTTGACCTGTCTGTCTCCTCTCCACCTATCTTCTCCTTTATCCATCTTCTATCCGCCTCCCCCTCTCTCCCTATTTATTTCAGAATCCCCTTCCCCTCCCCAATTTCTGAAGAAGGGTCTAGACCCAAAACGTCAGCTTTCCTGCTCCTCTGATGCGGCTTAGCCTGCTGTGTTCATCCAGCTCTACACCTTGTTATCTTAGAAAACATTAAGGTGGCAGGTGGTTTCATGTAGTGGGAAAGTAATAAAGTCAAAACTAGGTTACAGTACATTTATGTGAACCAGCGTGAAGAAAATTGGTGATTTGTGGCTGCAGATACAGTCATAGAGATGTACCGCATGGAAACAGACCCTTCAGTCCAACTTGTCCATGATTTCCTAAATGAATCTAGTCCCATATGCCAGCATTTGGCCCATATCCCTCCAAACCCTTCCTATTCATATACCCATCCAGATGCCTTTTAAGTGTTGCAATTGTACCAGCCTCCTCTGCAGCTCATTCCATACAAGCACCAACCTTTGTGTGGAAAAGGTGCCCCTTAGGTCCCCTTTTAAATCTTACCCCTCTCACCTTAAAACTATGTCCTCTAGTCTGAAAAGCAACCATCCACTAGCACCCTCTGTCTCCTTACCTTCAAGCCAGTTTTGTCTCCAAATGGCTAGTTCTCCCTGTATTCTTTGTGATCTAACCTTGCTAACCAGTCTACCATGAGAAACCTTGTCGAATGCCTTACTGAAGTCCATACAGATCACATCCACCACTCTGCCCTCATCAGTCCTTGCCTTTCCAAATACATGCAAATCCTAGTAACATGGAAATGAGTGATGTGGTGGTAACTAGTTGCATGAACAGAGAGACCTGGTTGTATATGTGCATAAATCAGTGGAGATGGCAGGGCAAGACATCCTGTGCTTTATTAATAGGAGGATAAAGTACAAAAGGGAGGGGCAATGGCCTCATGGTATTATCGCTGCACTGTTAATCCAGAGACCCAGATAATGTTCTGGGGACCCAGGTTCAAATCCCGCCTCAGCAGATGGTGAAATTTGAATTCAATAAATATCTGGAATTAAGAATTTAATGATGACCGTGAATCCATTGTCGATTGTTGGAAAAACCCATCTGGTTCACTCATGTCCTTTAGGGAAGGAAACTGCCATCCTTACCTGGTCTGGCCTAAATGTGACTCCAGGCCCACAGCAATGTGGTTGACTCTTAACTGCCCTCTGGGCAATTAGGGATGGGTAATAAATGCTGCCTAGCTAGTGATGGCTCTCATCCCATGAATAAGTGGAAAAAAAGAGCAAGGAAATTAAGATAAACTCATACAAAACAAGTTTTGCCTCAACTGCATCCATTTCTGGGCACTATACTTCAGGAAGGAAGTGAAGGCATTAGAGAGGGTATAGACAAAGAAAAAAAAAATCACCGGAATGGTTCCGGATATAAGGAACTTTAATTCTTAAGTGAGGGAAGTTGGAGTCGTTCTCCTTTGGGAGTAGACCGTCAAGAGGAAGTTTGATAGAGGTATTGAAAATCATGCAGGGTGTAGGCAAAGAAAATAGAGAGAAACTACCCACTGACAGAGGGTTCAAGAACAACAGGACACAGATGTAATATATTTAGGAAGAGAAGCAATGGTGACATGAAGACACTGTTTTTGGATTGCAAGTGCTTAGGATCTGGAATGCTCCACTTGAAAGTGGAGATTGAATCATGGCATTCAAAAGGAAACTGGATTATTAACTGAAAATGAAGAATTACAGGGGCGCTTGGAGAAGATGGATGAGTGGCAGTTGGGGAATTGCCGTGGTGAACATGACCAGCCAAAAAACCACCATCTGTGTTGTAGCCATTCCACGTGATTCCATGAATCCACTGAGATTCATAAGGTGAGAGTTTTTTGTTGCCTTGAAAGAAGCACTCCTCTCGGCTTCAGCTGCACAGGCCAAGCAGCAACATGGAGAGTACAGAAACAGCAGCACTTACAATCACTGCATAGCAAAAACTGCATAAAACAACTACTGAAAAAAAAAATTAGTAGAGTAACATATTAATCATCATTTTGTCTATGAAATCTGATTTGTTTTTATGATGAAAAACAATATTTAAAAATACAATTATGATCAGATAGATAATTCTAAGAAGTGATGTTTACGATGTGATTACATACTAATAAGTTGACGCTATAACTTTGTCACAAGGCATGGTAAACTTGTCAGAGATAGTAAGAACTGCCAATGCTGGAGTCAGAAATAACACAATGTGGAGCTGGAGGAACACAACAGGCCAGGCAGCATCAGAGGAGCAGGAAAGCTGACGTTTCGGGTCGGGACTTTTCCCGAGGACCAACTGTGACCCTTCCCGTATGTTAACCTTGTGAAAGGATTGATACATAAAAAATAAATCAACTCTAGTGAATAAAGGATATTTTCTGATGCAAGCCTGTGCATCAAGCATTCGCAAATTGAGAGGACCTCTGGGAATACAGTTCGACAAATCTTAAAGTGCAATTAATTTAGAAAATTAGCCGGGAGTGTTGGCTGGGACACGGCAACTTTCAGACGTCTATGTGCGGGTCAAGTCTCAGCAGGAGCCCGTTAAACCCAATAAGCAGCCACGCATTCCCCAAACTCGCTGTCCTTTTGCACGGGGCACTCCGCCCCTTTACCAGCCCTTGCCGAGCTCCAGGCCCAGCCCCCGGTACCGGCCCCTACAGAGCTCCAGGCCCAGCTCCTACCCACTTACCGGCCCCATGATCGACCGGATTCCAAAATCTCAAACAATGGCAGTCAATTCACCCGCGGCTTTCCTCCGGCTCCTTACGGCCCAGCGCTGGGGTCAGACAGGAGCCTCTCGGCCAGGCCGGGGGCTGTGAGGGGGAGACTGTCAATGCTCCCGAACCTGAAGCACACGTGCCGCCGGCTCCATGGTGATGCCAACGATGTCGTGTACGTCCAAGAGCGGCGCACAGCCGAACGTTTCCCTTCTCCCCACCCACTCTCACTGGAGACTGATGCCTCGCTCATTGGAGGACCAACTGTGATAGCGTCCCATCGCAGTATGTCAGAACGTTAGACGCATTTAAATCGAAAGAGCGAACGATATTTCGAAAGATATTTTGGTGTTTTACACTGTCTGAAAACAAAAACAAAAATACAAACTAAAGCATTTTTTAAATCATGTGGTATGATACCAAAGTGGTCTACACACTGGTCGAGGAGAAGGCGCAGTCAAGAACTACCGTTAAATGAAGACTTAAAACTATCATACTTTAACAGCACATGGTAATCATAGGTATAACAGGCTCTGACCGATACTCTACATAATGTAACTTTTTTTTGTGCGTACATGTGCAGCGGCCCTTAAGACTTTGTTATTCTAGAATAAGCATGATATAAACTTAAGCAGTTTGTCTGCTACAAGCCCCATTAAGGATGGTTAAAAATAAGTTAGGGTAATGCGTTAATAGTGAATTCTTAATACTGTGATAAGGAATACCGCACAATAACCTCTCCCCTTTAAAATATAATTTTACAATCATGAAATCCTTTTCCGTCAAAAGAAATCCAAATAAATGTAAAATAAGGAATTGTGGGTTTTGGAAATCTGAAACAAACAAAAACAGAAGTTGCTGGAGTAACTCGACAAGTCTGGCAGCATCTTTCTTCTTTTGCACCTGTCCGAAAAGTCCTCCAAACCAATTGCACAAACTGGTACTTAACTTTAATCGAAATGTTCTGTCCTCGACTCCTTTAGGACATCATGTCTCTCCAATACTCATGTCCTCCTTAACTATCACCGCTGCTCCACTTCCTTTCTTTTCATCCCTATTTTGAACAGCTTGTATCCAGGCATATTTCATATCTGTCCTTTTTGAGCCAGTCTTCATTGTCACCAAAACATCATATTCCCACACCAAAATATGCACTACCAAAACGTTTATAGAATAATTGTCTCACAAACCAATCACACAGCAGCATCACATATGTGGCAAACATAAGCATTGGTACTTTTCAAATTGTGGCACTAACTCAAAAATTTATCTTTATAAAACTTTGCAATGTATCATTCACCACATTTTACTTTGCATCTTTCCATATACTATTCTTTCAGCTGCTAACAGAGTACACATCTGGGTCTTTCACTGAACGTAAAAGAAATACAGCAATTTGATAATTTCATAGAATCCCTGCCATGTGGAAGCAGGCCATTTGGCCCAGAGTCCACACTGAATCTCCAAAGAGCATCCCACCCAGACCCTATCCCTGTAACCCTGCATTTCCCATGGCTAATCCACCTAGCCAACACATTGCTGGACACTATGGGCAATTTAGCATGGCCAATCCACCGAACCTGAACATCTTTGGACTGTGGGAGGATATCGAAGCATGCGGAGGAAACCCAAGTAGACACGTGGGGAGAATGTGTGTGGAGTTTGGACAGACACCCAAGGCTGGAACTGAACCTGGTGCTGAGGCAGCAGCGCTAACCACTGAGCCACCATACTGCCCTGTGAATTTACCTACGTGATAGTGTGTTACCTGGGTTGTAAACCATACAGATCAAGAATGTAAGTTCAAAGGTTACAGTGAAAGTGATTGGCAAAACTTAAACCATTTTTGTTTCTGAAAAAAATGCCAGGTTTTGTTTGGAGTGGCAGTTTTGAAGCCGACAGTAACTGTTTCTGTGAAATGAATTTGGTTGAGGAAAGATAGCTATGATATTTTACATCAGCATAAAAGTAAATGGTAAAAATAATTATGAAAATATCCACTTTAAAGATTTGTTGATTGGTAGCATTGTCTTCATGGCTGGAATTTCAATCACACCTCCATCTTTCAGTTGCTGTGTTTTGAAAGCTCTGAGAAATACCTAGAGTCATAATTATGTAGTTGTGGGGGAGAAAGACTGATGTACAGTTTTTTTTTCAAAATAAGAATTGACTGCTGCAACTTGTTGAGTTTTCTGGGTTTTAATCTCCAATTGATAGAGCGGGTTTATGGGGGCTACTAGGCTCAAGTTTGTTTTGCTCAGCCTGTTCTGGATGGATTTTACAAACCTTCCCTAAACATTTCAGTGTAGCATCTTTAGTATTTGAAAACATCCAAAAGGCACTTTAAAGATTATCATCAAACAAAATTGGACAGTTAGCTATTTAATATAAGATTAAGGAAAATGACAAATTTTGGTGTTAAGATATCTTATAGGACGAAAGAAAGGTAGAGAAGCAGGGAGGTTTAGGGTTAAAATTCCAGAGCTGAAAGCATGGCTGCCAACGATGGCTTGCTTAAAATTGGGCTGGAAATGAAGTATGGTGGAAGGCTGTAGGCCTGAAGGAAAGTTAGAGATAGTGAGGGCGAAGCTAGGTTTCTGTACCTAAATATTACTGCTAATTATAAATAAATAAATAAATAGATGCTAGCTATAGGTAAACACTATGAACTATTGGAATGTAACTACTGGTTAAGTATAACTACCTCTTTTAAACCCTCCCCCCAACATGCAGACACAGACACAAATCAAATTAATATAGTGGGTGGAGGGAAAAACTGGAAGTAGTTTAACATTTCCTGTCGAGATGGTTATTGGAGATGATCATTGGAGATGATCCTATTGGCTTGTCAAGACTTGTTGCTCATCGATTTGTCTTCCAGGTACTTACACTTGCAGGCAAGAGACACAGTGACTGGTTCACAAATATTAAGGCATCTGACTTATTGGTTAAAAGCCACAACGTACAACAACAGAATGGGAAAATAGACTGGCTTTCTTCAGAATTTTGGTGCTTTTGTTTTTTTTTAAAAAAAAGAAAGGACACCACCTCCCACTGGAATTATGGAGGTTTCTAGTTACATCATTCACACCCTCAAGACAGTCAGCTACCTGGAAGTCAATTGAATGGTTGATGGCAGACAGAAGACTTTTCTCTTTGACAAGTGGTCATCACTCCACAGACCAATGAGCTCCTTTTGCCAGACAAATCTTATTTTGTATACACCTACTAGTGTCAGTTAGCAATTAAATTCGCTCAACTGGTCAAACAAACAACAGTGCAAACAGCACTTACAATAAGCATTGTTAACTTGTTTTCAAAATGTGCAGCAACCTCTTTCACCTCTTTTTTTTTTTTAAAAACAAAGTTTTTTTTCCCCATTTTAATCCACAGTCAACATGCAAGAAAATAAAAGGTCTTTACATCATACTAAAACATAGTGGAAATATCAGAGATGACATTCTCTTCAAAAGTTCTCTGAAGAACCACAAGGCCAGATTGAGGAACCATGAGTCAAAAACCCGAGACACTTATTAAATGCAGCAAGTTGAAGACTTAATAGAAGTGAGGAAAGTGAGTTTTTGGAGCAGCATCATTTCCAAGGACCTAAACCTTCTGTATCCCCTCCATGCCATCACAGGACCAATGTAGGTATACAGATAGGAGTTATGGAAAACACTGATTGGCACAGAATAGGCTCAGGACTCCAAAGCAGGAACCGGTTATATTTCCTGAAATGAAGTGGGTTCTATTACTGAGACAACAAGGTATAGATCTGGATGAACACAGCAGGCCAAGCAGCAGAGGAGTAGGAAAGCTAACGTTTCGGGTCTAGACCGTTCTTCAGTAACTTCTTCAAGGTAGGCATTTTTAGAAGAGGCTTCACAGTGGGGTTGAAATTGTTACAGAGATAGTAGGATCTATTACTGATGTTATCTTCATCAGGCAAGGTGTTGACCAACTTGAAGCTGAATTTAAGTCACTGCTAGCAGCATTCAATACTTATTTTAGCGTTAAGGATCCCATTATTGAATGCACCTAGTTAAACCAGTTGTTTGGGAAACTGGCAGGCTTCTTTATTAATAAATACATATAGATTCCAGTTCACGTAGTAATAAAAAAAGTTCAGGGATAACTATAAATGACAATCGCAGTTATGTTTAGACTGCATAAAATTAATGTTAGAGCAGACAGTCCAGCATATGGGACAGGCCGAGTGTCAAGCACAAAACTGGTTGTGATTTGGTGCAACTTCAAGTGTCAGTTTGAGCCCATTACTCGCCTAAGCACAAAGATGTCCGCGCCTCAACGTTTTTTGGAGAAAACATGGGAATGGTCACTTTGGTGCAAGATGGCAACACAAGTGACACGGCTGTCCAGCAGGGAACTCAACGCTTTCACTGTGACAGAATCGATCAGCCATTTTCAGTACATATGCAATGCACAATTCCTTCAAAAACAAATCAAACATTTCAACTCTTATAGAAGCTCTTTTCTACAGCTAACTGACTAAAGTGACGATATTACATGGAGGAATTCGCTCAGCCTGTCCAGAAACACATCATACCATTTGCCAAGATTTATCCCAATGTTTCTAAACATCTGGACCTTCATACCAAGGGAATTGAATGATCTGTCAAGTACCACCTCAGGTTTTCCAAGACTTTGATGAATTTTATGATACTGCTACACCAATACTGCTTGAAGTGATGAATCTATTTCTTTTGGCATTCCTAGCCAGAAGACACACCAAGTGCGTGAACCAGACAACATGCCACGGTCAGGCCCAGTTTTAGCATTAAGGTGGTAGTTCTGCAGTACCTGACTCTTCAGTCATTGATGCAGTATGTCAAAGTTCTTTGACTTTTATTGTCGCCCAGACCAGGATGAACAGAGTTTTTCACTTACTTTTACAGTCAGTTTGACGCAAAACAGCATCCCAATATCTTCAACTGCAAAAGTGGTCACGATAGTATATCAATTGGTAACAAACAGATTTATGCAGTGGAATCTTGTGGATCATGGACAATTAAAGACAGCAGCCTCTGTACTTGGGAAGATCATTCAGTAGCTGGGGGGCTTTGCTTTTGTTTGGGAGCGTGGAGGATTCTTTGACTTCATTTAGCTTTCTGGGGATGCAACTCAAGGGTAAAATTCATCCCACGTTGCCTTCTTGTGCAAAATGGTTCATTGTAACTACAGGTATAGTTCCAACAGTTCTAAAAGAAAACTTTCCAGTTTGAGGTCAATTGGTGGAGGTGGTAAGATTTGATATAGAAATAAATGGGAATAACTTCATTTAAAACATATTAAGAAAACATTTTCAAGTTAATAATGCTGGACACTGAATATATTTACAGGGAGATGTACAGATAGGGTGTAATGAATGTGCAGAAAAGCTAGAGGAACACTAACCATTACCATGTGACAGACGCTGTACGATAAGGCTGGAGCCTGAGCAGCTCTATGCAAATATGCTTGTTGCTATATTGGATATTGTTAATAGATACAGTTTAAAGAAACATCTTGAATTTTGGCTTGAGCTTCTCTGAAGAGCAGATGAACCAGTAATAAAAGCAGATGAGGATAGGCAAGTGTAAAATTGGAAAATTTAACCTAGTTGGAACTTGGTGGTCTTAGGGATTACATGTAATTGGGCTCAAATATTAGACCAAAGCTGCAAATAGCAGGGTTTAGCTTTACGTAGCTGAGGGACAGAGATGAAATTGATGACTAGGGAACAAGATCTCAGTGGAGATTAAAGACAATTGCTTCAGTCTTGCCAATATTTAATTGGAGGAAATTTCTGTTCTTCAGTCAAATACTCTGACAAGCGAGAGAATATAGAGGTGAGGTACAGCTGTGTATTGTCAGCGTAGATGTGGAAACTAACTTGATTGCAGATGATGTTGCTGAAGGACAAAATGAGAGACGGAAAAGGGTAGATAGATCCTTACAGGAATAGCCAAGGTAATGGTGCAGGAGAAAGAAAAAAAGTCATTGCTGGTGATTCCCTAACTATGACTGGATAGTTAAGAATAGAACAAGTTGAGTATAGTCTCACCCAAAAGTGGAGACAGATTGGGGGAAGGAAGGTATTGTCAAACATGTTAAAGGCTGCAGACAGCTTAAGAAAGAGAGATAGCTTAGTTTTTTCAGTCAGGGGGCATCAAAGTCAGAAATGATAAGAACTGTTAAGACTTAAATGGCTGGAAACCAGACAGGAGGCAGTCTAACATGCAGATAAAGTTATGGATTTAATAGGCAGCACATTTGAGTTGAAAGAAAAGCAAGGTTGGAACTGGACAATCATTTGTATATTGAAGAGTCAAGGAATATTTCAAGAAAGGGGACTGACATATCAAAGTTGGAGGTGAGAGTGTTGTTCAGCAAATTACTAAAGGAGGAAATATGAAGAGAATTAAAGACTAGCAGGTTGTGGTTTTGAAAATGCAGTTCTGACTAATTTTGATCCCCATGGATGTGGCAAAAAATGGAGTTGACAGAGACAAAGAGTGGAGAAGGGATCAGAAATTATCTTAGGTGCCATTTTCCTCACCTTAATTTTTATCTTTGACTTGGAATAACAGTGTGAATATAAATAGTATGTTGCAACTGACACACTGTGGAAGAAGCGTTGTCAAAAAAAAAAATCACAGATTGCAGTAATAATTTATATCTGGGACTAATAGCCTAATGTCTGAATGGAGTTTGCATGTTCTCCACATGTCTGCATAAGTTTCCACCCATAGTCCAAAGATGTGCAGGTTAGATGGATTGATCACGTTAAATTGTCCTGTAATGACCTCGATGTGCAGGCTAGGTTGATTAGTCATAGTAAACGCAGGGTTATGGGGATAGGGCAGGATGCTGTTCGGAGGGTTGGTGCAGACTCAATGGACTGAAAGGTCTCTTTGCGCACTGCAGGGATTCCATGATTTTAGTCTGGTTTGACCTAAGTCTACACAGGTTTGGCACAAAGCTCAGTTGGCTAGACGTTGGTTTGCAATGCAGAGTGGACAACAGCATGTGTTCAATTCCACGCTGGCTGAGGTTACCATGATAGTCCAGACTTCTCAACCTTACCCAAGATGTGGTGACCCTCAGGTTAAACCACTTGTGTGTCTCTCTCTCTCTCTCTCTGTGTGTGCAGATCTATGCTCCTTTGGGACAATGATGACCTAATATTTTAGATTTCCATGCAACCTCAAAAAAATTATTTCACAAGAACAGCTATTGAACCGTTAGCCACATGATGCTAAACGTTATTTTTGGAGATCAAGTAGGATAACCACACGGAAAATAATGTGAAATGTTGCGAATGCTGGATATTTGAAACAAGAACAAAGTGCTTCAAAAACTCAAGTCAGGCAGCATCTGTGGAGAGAAACAGTTAATGTTTCAGGTTGATGATCCATCAACACTATGTTAGTTATGTGAAAGTTATGTAAAACAAAAAGCACACATTTGTAGGCACTTGACTTCATACTTTATTTACATATGAAACTGGTATTTAGTGGTATTAGCTGTGGACTGTTTCCTTCTATTTACAATTAGTTTTCATATACATTACATCTGTAGTCAGTATGAAAATCTGTACAATACAAAGCAAGTTAAGAACTTCATTTAACTAACTGAAAGGATATATAAATAAAAAATTTATAATTCAAAGTATTTTGCACTCAATCTGTAGTACACTATTTATGTAACATGCCACTTCCTTTTAAGAAACTTTAAAACAAATTAGAAGGACAAAGTTCCTACACAATTCATATTTATACTCCAGTAAGATGAATTCTAAGGGACTGGTTTAAGGATACAAGAAAATAAAGTACAAAGTCTTTCAAATAAAAAAGAAACAAAAATGTAAGAAAGTATACTTTGTAATTTGCACACAAGACAAATCTTAAATTTACACAAATGTCACCAAATTCATTGCAGAAATTACAAGTCAGGTTAGAAAAATGCCCGATAATTAGCCCTCTGCCCTTTTGTGATTACTGACAAATAATCTCACTTTTCCATTATGAGCAGACAACAGATCTGAGCAATGCAATATAGTATACATTGCTACAGTTTGTAGCTGTCAGCAGTTTTCATCACCTGATTTGAAATAAAAGTTACTGAATGTTATCATGGTTACATTCCAAGACTTGTGCAAAGCACTATGCCATTTTGGAGTTTTTTTAATATATTGCACATCATAAAACATACACAGTTATGCAAGTCAAGCCCACAGCACCTGTCTGAGGACAAATCACAAAGCCTTCATCAGCTGAGAGACACTGACTTTTAACTGTTGTAGTACAATATCTAAGTTTAATTTTGACATTCAACCATTCTGTTTGAAGACTATCCTGCAGGCCTGGAAATGATACAACATCCTTAGTTCCATTGTTGAAAGCACCAGAAAAGCAGCTAATTACTGAAACAAAGGTCAATAAAAATATTCATAGTACAATTCAGTAGTTGAATAAAAAATGCCACAGTTCAGTAATTGAATTATAAAAGATCTCAGGTTTACAAGAAACAGGAAATGCTTGAAAATATTAGAGGATGCTGTGGAATATTTCAACACCAAGCACTTGCAGGCTGCTTACAGAAGTGGTGATTCTGTAAAGTAGAACAGTAATGCTTTTGATGTTCTCTCAGCTTTGTCCTTTTACTTCAAAATCTTCGTAAGTAAAATGACCACATTAAAAAGTAAAAACCAGCTACTTCCCAAATAAGACTATCACTAAAACGCTACACAATGGAAGAAAACAATTCAAAATCCATTTGGTCCATATTAGGTAGTTTCTGGGAACCAGCTAGCTTTGGAGGTACTTTGTGTACCAGAAACAAGGTACAGCAAGGTGATTGGTCTCTAAGTGCTCAAATTTACATATCAGTTTTCAGTCTGCTAATAAATGAACTACTTTGCACAGGACTCAAATTTTCCTTTAATACTGACACTAGTGTAAACATTTCATTTTGTTGGATATAAGCCACGAAAGGATCAACTGCACCATAACACTTTTCCCATCAATGGGGATAAGATAGACAGATCTTTGGGTCATTCACAGTCCAACAATATTCAGTCTCTTAACTCCAACAGACATCCACTTTAAGGAGATGCACTGAAGAAACTTCCATAAAGTATTGCTACACCATTAATGCCAACAAATTCCAGCTCACTGACCGTCACAAACATCAAATGTCCCCACAGGAATATTAACTCTTCAGGGTAGGACAGTGATTTTTCTCAACCTCCTTATTTTCCTTCATCAGTGAAGCAAACACCTGTGGATTATAAAATGAAAAGAATATTTATGAATGACCCAAAACTCTTCAGCCAGACTTTCAAATTAATTTGAGGATGGAGGTGCACTTGCAGTATTAATAGCAATTACAATTAATAGTAATTACAAGCATAAGGACTCAAAATTGAAGGTAAATCTTTATCTACAACCTAAATCCAGCAAACTCAAACAATATTGTGAACTTAATGAAAAACATATACCCATGCTAGAACCTACCCTAGACAATATCAGAAAGATGTATTGTGCACAGCTACAACACCTTCACCAGATTAGCACAAGAGTTGTTACTACTTAATCCATTACTAATGATTACATTTCAAAATTTTGCATCACTCCAAACCACAGGGTCAGCAGAACTTTATATTCCTTCCCCTTGTTAGTTTAAGGCATCAACAGCTGAGGGTAAACTGAATTAATGTTCGTGAACAATGACCGTTTAACAGAACTGGATGATATTAGAAATGCTTAGCTTCCAAGTCCATGCCTTTATTTAGGCCACACTAACATCCTTCTTTGCCTCTGTTCGGCCATCTGATTGCCATGACCTTGTACCTGTCGTCTAACCTCACGCAGTCTACAACTCAGAACTCTGCATTCCTTCAACTCTGGTCCCTTGTCTATACCCCCTTCTTTCAGCCACGACTGACGAACGTGCTTTCAGCTGTCTCGCACTATGTTATGGACCAGACCAAAGCTCCTCAAAGTATATTAAGAAGATAGCCTAGAACCTATCTTTTTCTCATTTTAAAGATAGAGAGTGTTCTAAACACCAATAATATTAAAATTAAGCATTGGTAGGTCATTGCTAAATGTGGATTTGAGTTTTGGATAAGCCCAGGTTTTATGGAGGGTGAAAGGTGGGTTGATAGTCAGGAGTGCAATGTTGTCGTTGAATCTGGAAGTAATAACAGCATGAGCAAAAGTTTCAGCAGTGTTTTAGATGGCCTAACGGAGGCAAAAAAGGATGTTACAGTGTGGTCTAAATCTACAGTCTTGATGATGGAAAAGGTATGGACTTGGAAGCTATGCATTTCTAACATCATCCAGTTCTGTGAAAGGTCATTGTTCAGAGACATTAATTCAGCTTCCCCCTCCACTGCTGATGCTTAATCAGTGTTTCATGCATTTTATTTTGCTTTTCTTTCAGAATTCCATTATCTTTAGTATTTTTTGTTCTACAAGTACTGGTTGTGGATAAAGATGATTTTCTGATGTAAAAATTGTTGTGGAAATTTATTAGTAACAGCATGAGTTTAAGTTGTAAGGTGGTCAAACTACAAGGTGTTAAACAAAACACACTTCACTCACACTAATTAAACTACAGACAAGAGAAGAATTGGCTTAACTGTAACTATCAAAATGCATAATATAATATACATTAACTACTAGTTAACAGCTCCCATAAACTAACACCCCATAAACACATCCTTGGCAAAGGCAAATTCAGTAAAATAGATAGTGTCACATGTAATTCTAGCAGCAGGAAGAGAACGCCAGCTTTTAGCTGTCAGAGAGAGGAATAAAAGCTTCCACACCCAGCTTCAAAATCTCAGTAACAGCAACTGAAGGCTAAAACTAAAAAACCCTGTTCTGAGAGAGCTTGATACCACCCAATCAGGTTGCTTTTTATATTCCAACGTTTTTTTAAAAAAAACAAGACCTGACAAGCTGTTTATTTTATTGGTTTTGGAGCAGACTTCATATTAAAAAAAAAAGGACATAATACAACTCTTAAAGCCACAGCATCGTCACAGCTAAGCTCTGGAATTTCAACTGTGAAATTCTAAGCTCCTCTCTCCTTGACAACACCCCTTAGGTACCATTTCTTTGACTATGCTCTTGATTATTTATCCTAACATCTCCTTTCTTTGGATTGAAGTTAGGTATTGAACATACTGTTATGAAACACAAGAACCTAAGAAATAGGAGCAGGAGTAGGCATTCAACCTCTTCCTCCAGTCAAAAAGATTCCAGCTGATCTGCTGAGACCTCAACTCCATTGTCAACCAAATAAAAAGTTTGAGGAAGGAAGTGTTAACTCTGATTTCTCTCCACAGAAGCTGCTAGACCTGCTGAGCTTTACTAGCAATTTTTGTTTATGTTCTATTGTCAACCAAAATGTCTGGAATACATCCAATCAGGCAACTTCCACTGGGGATTGGGTGGGAAGAACACTCCAAATACTAATAACCCGGAGAGACAAAATTCTGTCCCAACTCAGTCGTAAATAGGAAACTCCTTTTGAAATTGTGTCTCCAATTCTAGATTCCCCACGAGGGGGAACATCCTCTTTGCGTCTACCCTGCCAGGCTCCCTCAAAATCAAAATTTCAATAAGATCACCTGTTGTTATTCTAAACTCCAATGACTGGCCTAATTTTTTGCCCATGCTGTTTTTTCCTGCCTTCTTGAAATGCCATATATTAAATATTCAATTTGGAGCCTTGGTCACCTTGCAAAAGTATCTCTAATGCTATTATAGCTATTTATTTCCATTTATGCCATTAATTTATCATGTAACAAATTAAATTTCATCACCTTGAATCAATAGAACAGAAGTTAAAAAGGAGTCAAAATAATATCAAAAAATCAAGCACAGATGAAAAAGCCTTGAGCATAAAATGATCAAAATTGTTTGTCTCATTATATTCTTGCTTCATTTGTGATGAGCATTAAAGTAGATGTCACTACATGGTGGCTCAGAGGTTAGCACTGCTGTCTCACAGCGCCAGGGACCCAGGTTTGATTTCACCCTTGGGCGACTGTCTGTGTGGAGTTTGCACATTCTCCCCATGTCTGCATAGGTTTCTTCTAGGCGCTCTGGTTTACTTCCACAGTTCAAAGATGTGCAGGTTAGGTGAATTGGCCATGCTAAATTGCCCATAGTTTCCAAAGATGTGCAGGCTAGATGGATTAGGCATGGTAAATGCAGGATCACAGGCACAGGGTAGGCCTTGGTGGGATGCTCAGTGTGGACACGATAGGCTGAATGGCCTGCTTCCACACTGTAGGGATTCTATGGTTCAGAGTTTAACCCATAACTTAGAGAACACTAGTTTATATTTTAAAGGAGTAACATATTTTGTGCTCAAGTTTTTGTAAATCAATCGTGAAACTTCGCTCTTGTAGTTTAAGTGACTGTTGATTACTGAAAAACAAAGCCTCTGTTATTGCTAATTATAGGCTTTCACATATCAAACGTTTTCCACATTAATTATGCATTCTGTACTAGTAATAGTTTTAAGCTTAATATTCTATTACTTAACTGTGTTTCCTCACCTGTGTCCATTTTTTGTTGCTGCTGTGCATTTGAACAGTAGTGATACAAGCAAAAAGTTTTTCTGATGTGATGTCTTCAGGCAGTTTGGTAAGGAATTGAGCTATATGAATAAAGTCCATTTGCACTAAAATGTCCTCATACAACTTGAGGATGCCTAATGCTGTCCGAAAAAGGAACTCTTCTCCATCGCGGCAAAAGACATCCCAGACTCGACAAGCTAGATCCAGGGGCAGTGACTTACTATATAGTGTAAATATCCTACAGTTTGAAGAGCACAACAATTAAAATGAATACAGTGGCCACTGTAGTGACAATTCTTAAATGTATTATACAAACTCGCTTTATGCATTTCAAATTGTGTACAGGTTCATGTGAGAAATGAAATCTAACCTGTCAGATTCACTCAGCTACTCTAAAGGGTTAAATCTTTACAGTGGAAACTGATCTGTCAACATATACACTACACTGACTCTTAACGGCATTATTATTACTGGAAATTTAAAATACAAACACGTTCAGTGAACTTACCAGTCTATAAGATAGATATCTGGAGTCAAATTATTTTTCATGAAGTGTGAAAAGAGTTTTGGAAGATTTTCTTCAAAAAACACTTCAAATGATGCAAAATATTTCAGCATCTGAGGAGAAGAGTTTTTTAAAATTAAAGTTGTTGAAACAATTTTTTGAAGAGATCTGTCAACCAATTTTATAATTTTCACAATAAACAAGTTTTTAAAGATGATTTCTCAGAATACTCAGCATTAGCTTGTATTAAGGAAGCTCTGAATATTTCTCTAGGCTTGTAATTGCAATTATATCAAGACTGGGCTGATTCCAACAAGATCAATATTAGAAAACATACGATGATAAGAATACTGGATACCAGGTTTATTGTTAGGAGGAACTGATCTGAGCAGTTACAACATGACAAAATGCATTCCCAGTGGGCAGTCCATTTCATTAAGTGAATAGATTTCACATTGCAAAAGGCGACCAACAGCATTTGATTCCGTTACAAATGTTCCCTTGCATATTACTTTGATTTTTTTTTCTACAGTTTTTCTACCCCTGCGCATGAAATGCACACCTGAAGTATCTGTAAGAGAATGCTGCCTTGCCCAATTTTTATTGGAACATACACGAGTATGTTGTCATGCTATTTGACTTGTAGGATTACAGTCAAATCCAATATAATCTCACTTGAAGCACAAAGACAAATTCTGAGGAGAGGCCGTGAAATTGCAAGAGAAGGAAAAAACAATCGAGTCCCACTTGTCTTGGGTTGAAGGTCATTACAGAGTCCTCAATTTTGTAGTGGGTTACCAACTAACAAAAATGAACCAAAGAATTGGGTGAGAACTTACTGATTCTAATGCGTCATCTCTACAACGTGTAATGCTTACTTACCAGCCCTCGAGATCACGGTCCTTCAGGTTTCGAGGATTGTTTCCTTGTGTATTTTTCTTAAAATCACTGCAGTTGTTGCAATCAAATTCAACCTATCCTCCACATAATAACTAGAATGACTTTTTTGAAAGATGGTGAGAGTGATCTTCAACACATGCTTTGCTATGTCGGTTTTCCAAGGCCATGCATCCCAATTATGTCAGTAGGAATATTAAGTAAGCAATTCGCATACCTTCCTCCACACAGAAGGCGCATAAGCAGAAACATAATAAATGCACAATTTTTCAACTCCTTAGCAGAGAAGTGAGAGCTTGTTTTCCAAAGACAATTCTTTTAGTAGCACTTTATGCACTAAATTCTTCTGAGTTACAAAAACTCCTCTGCTGGACTCTCGCTTGACTATTCTAATAAATTTGCTGTATTGTGGAAATGAACAGTGGTGTAATTTTTTTTCCACAGAAGGAATAGGCACTAATGCTTAATTTGCCACTTAAAGCAATCCAACTGTACATCTAACTGTTGAGATCCTTGGATTTAAACAGTCATTTTTCCTACAGCACATCCTAAAACAAACCCAATTCTGCTGTCATAGTCCAGTTTTCAGTAGCTCCACGGATGATTTTAGGTTGCATAGCACTTCCACATACAACAGAAACATTATATGTTCCAGATATTTGTACAGTACAATGACCTTACCATGCTATGATCCACTCGGAAAAATGCCAGCTGACAGGGTTTGTTCAATAAGTTGGCAAAAGCTATGAAAGCATCTGCTTCTTCCAAATTAAGGATGAGCACTGCAGCAACAAAAGACATTCCTTGGACCTGCAGGAAATGGCATGGTAATGAATGGATTTATTCAATAAAATTACGATCTGGCTTCCAATAGTGCTGAATCAGAGTGTGCAGAATTTCACCCGCAGTCACCACCTTTTCTTAAAAGGGAAATGCAGGTGGCAAAACCTGTAGTATTTTTTTTTGAAAGCAGAACTATAATCTGTTCCAGCAACAGGGAGCCAAGAATCTGTTTTCTTTAATCTCGGCGAACGTAACTGGAGTAACAGATTGGAGGGAGGTAATTACTTTTCATGATCACAGAGTATTCTAGCTCCTTCGAGAATACCACCAGCAATATTAACAATTACACAGCAATGTCCATGGTCAGCTAGGTCTAACAAATGCCTTAAATGGCAGATCTCTATTTGGAAGTTCGGACACAACCGACCTGAAAAAATAAAATTTAAAACTGAATATTGCACCTGCTCTTAAGGATAGTATAGACTACTTTTGTTGTTTTGTAATCAGACTTGGTGATTGGGGAAATGCTACTTATTTTCAGTCATTTATTAAAATTTTTTGACTTAACAGGTTGGTTTCATAATAATGTTCAAGGTATGGTAATGTGACAGCAACATGGCTATGGTTGCATTGGCAACCCAAACATAGTGAGTCCAACCACTGGAAATGATCAAACTGGATTCAATAATCATGGTGATTTGTGGGTTAGCACCCACAAACAAATCACAATATAAACAGCCAGATAATGTAATGTCCTTCAGAGAAGGTAGCTGCACTTCCAGGATCTCAATTTCAGTCCTGTGCTACTCCAAAAGCTGCCTCTTAATGCTCTCAGGGTTAAAAAGTAACAACTGTCAGACATTTACCAACCGCCCCCTCAAAAAAAGTTCTGCCTCTCAAAAGATTAAAAGAATTCACACAACTTTACAATATCTACTTTCCATGTCAAGCAGAAAGTATTGTTAGAACCCCTTTGCAATGATATTATACCAGCAGATGCTAGTTAACTCCAGAATACAAGACTCATGGGTTCGTTTATAAAGAAGCTGACTAGGAACACTTACAGCAGGTAGCTAGTGCCTCTGAATACAAGGCAGGATAAACAATAGACCTATAACAAGCAATCTCCCTGGTGTACTGGCAGGATTCTAAACTTAAATATTATCAAAGGTTTAAAAAAACCATGGTATCTATCAAGGACATTGACAACAGACCAGAGATATCAAAGTCTTTGCATTATATCAGAATTTCAATAGGGCAAAAGATGCTTTACAAGTATCATCTTTGTGCCTGCATTTACCCTCAAAATATGAAATATATGCATACCAATAAGTGGTTCACTAAAACGGCATTTAGCAAACAGAAACATGATTTGCAAGTAGCTATGGCTTGTAAACCAAATTTTATAAATACATTAATCACAAAAGGTCAAGTACTTACGTATCCCACATCAGGCCTGTAGCAGGTATATGCCCCAAGGACGCTATGCAAAAGATCGTGATATGGTCCACCCTTCAAATACAACACAAGATGAGGTTCAAGTCTTAACAACAAAAAACAAAAATACAACACACAAACTATTTTTTCATTGTAACATTTCCCCAACTACCCTCCCTGAAACTGGCTAACATTACCCTCCCTAACGGTTGGCTCACCCTATGATCACCGACTTGAATTTTGCACAGTAACCACACCTCAATGTCCTAATCATCTGCAGGCATTGACACCAAATTAATTGCAAGGATTTCATAGCCAGAGACTGCATATTGAACAATTCCTCATGTTCTGCTCTTCAATGCTTCCTCCTCTCCTCCATACCTACTTCAATCCCTCACTTCTCTGCTTGACCTGAAAAATAATTTAAATTGATATTGATTACCTATACAGATCTACAAGAAACTGCGTGGTATTATGTTGTAACTGCTAAAAGAAAACCCAGTCAACTTGGTCTTATGGAAGCCAGAAGTTTTAAATCTTAGTTTAAAATAATTAACTAAGAATACTGTATAGTTTAGGAAGCAAGCAGAAAAATGGGCTTGGACTGGATGGTTATTTTGAGAAAAATGCTGGCAAAGATTTGAAGGGCCTAATGGTCTTTTTCTGTGTTGCAATAACCATGATTGAAACTTTGACTGTTCTTTTGATTTGTGAATACCCAGTAAAATTACAAACCTTCTGGAAAATGTAGAGTGAAGGGAATGTACGGGATATGTCCAGCTTTATCAGTTCAAGACTGGCCTCTCGATCAGCCCTTGATGTCCCAGATTCTGGAAACCAACAATAACAAATCATTTCTGAAAGGTGCAATGTCAACTGAAATTTACATTGTGTCTTAACTGACAATAGGATTGATTTTTTGAGATGGCTGTTTTCAAAATGAACTTTGTTGAAAATGCCTTGATTGCCTATTTGTAGAATATATATTTTCCCAGGTCTATGAATTATCTGCTTATGGCAATAAAGCTAAAGAAAATGTTTACTAAAGTTACAGCTTTATATTGACTTAGTGGAATTTATTTACTTTGTCATAGTTTCAGCATCTGCCACTTGGAAACAAATGCTTGCACTGCAACATTAGCAATTCCCACAAAGAGCAGAAAGAAAAATTGCACAAGCTCCAGCCAAAGTTGATAACAAGCTTCAAGTATAAAGGCCCAAATGTCATACTTCCTAATTTGCAGACTGAAAAGTAAGTTCAATTGCTGACATTCAAGTTGGTCATTCACTCTTAAGCCTCTGGTGTCAAGGAATGAGATGCAGCTATTCTTGTAGGAAAGTATTATAGCTATCAATGGTGCCTAAATGACTTCAGGGTTTGGATAAATTCTCCAGCCAATGTCATTCCATTTTCCCCTTTAGACAGCTGGTGGTTGTAACACCCATTTGAAACTGTGGGGTTCTGGGTCCCCTGTTTTACACTGCATAGTGAGGCCAAGTGGTTAATCCGCAACTTTCACAATCAGATCTTGAGTCTTAGCTCCAGTGATTTCCCATATCCTCCACCACAACTTGGAAGTTGAAAGTAAAATCACGAGGGCCTCTGTCCTATCAGAAGTCGAGGTAAATGGTGGAATATCAGGAGCATCATTGATACTCAAATCCAAATTACTAGGGCTTGGTAATATTCTGATTATTGCTGCTTCTCTTGCCACGGCCTACGAGGAGAGATGTGCAAGGGTGGGGAGCCATGCTGTCAGTGTTGATTTCAGTACATCTGGTGAGGAATCTCCTAGTGTTTAGTTACAAGTCAGCAAGATTTGTGCACAATTCCTGACTATGCTGTACTGAACTACCATTAACTGTAACTGGTCAGTAGAGATTTCAGCTGTTACTTTTGAAGTGCTCAAAGTTCATTCATTTTCTAAATATTGCTCAAGCTTTTCATCTTGAACCTTAATTTCTTTTATGTAATCAATATGTAAGAAATACCAATGTTAATAGTTAAAGCTAAATGAAACACCTTTTAAGTGTATTTTGCACTGTTTTAAAATCACATTGGTGACTCTAGACAGGAAGATTTCATAAAGCTCTATGAAATGGAAAGACACTATATTCTGCATTGAAAAATATTTCAGTGAAAGCACATAGCTCAAAGGAGGTTCAAACATCTATAACATAACCATTTTTAATGGAATACAAGTGGATTAGGCTGACTTGGCCACCAGAGCAGAAATAAAAGATTGACATTAGCAGATTCAAAGGTCTAATAAAGCTAGAGAACAAAGCGCCGAAAGAGCAAGCCACAAATGGTAAACGTCACTGTTTCTGCATGTAGCATAGGCATAAGACAGGCCTGCAATAATGGAAGGAGACAACTGCAAAGAGGACTATTTTGCTTTTCTGCATTGACAATTTGATAATTAATTTGATTACAGATACTTCACAAGCCAATTTACCTTCAGTTTCATTCTCTGATCCAAAGTCACTAAAGTTTTTCCAACGTTCCTTCGCTCTAGACAGGAAGATTTCATAAAGCTCTATGAAATGGAAAGACACTATAAACAATTAAGGCCAATTTTTATAAAGTTAATTTCTACCCCTTTGGACTGAGTCACACAGATCCTGGACACCAGACAAAACCATTCTAAAAACACCTCTACAGGCAGGGTGAGAGACGGTCGTTCAGTGCTGGTCCCTTCTGGAAGCCATGGTGTTCCATTTACTATATTCTCAGCAGAATATCTGAAATCAAAAGCTAGTCACATGAGGGAACATGGACACAAAACATGAAATTTGTGTTTTCCTATTTGCCATTTCAGTGAAAAGTTCTGAATATTGCAAAGGAAATGTTAAATTACTTCCAAATCTGATTCAGTTTAAAAGAACATCATTCCTACAACGCAGCTCAGTGGTACTTAGAAATAAGCTTCAATTAGATCAAGTGTAGCTGGAATAATTTCTGGATTGTTATATAGCAGCACAGTAGTTCAGTGGTTAGCACTGTTCCCTCACGGCACCAGGGACCAGGGTTCAATTCCACCCTCCGATGACTGTGCGGAGTTTGCATATTCTCCCTGTGTCTGCGTGGGTTTCCTCCAAGTGCTCCAGTTTCCTCCCACAGTCCAAAGATGTGCAGGTTAGGTGGATTGGCCATGCTAAATTGCCTGTAGTGTCCAGGGATGTGCAGGCTAGGTGGATTAGCCATGGGAAATGCAGGGTTACAGGAATTGGGTAGGGGGCTGGTTTGGGTGGGATGCTTTTCAGCGGGTCGGAGCAGACTCGATGGACCGCACTGTAGGGATTCTATGATATGCTGTACAACTATGTCCTGAAACACTGGCATGGCTGATAGTATGTTTACTCCTTTTTTTAAGCATAATTATCTGCAGGTATAATGACATAACTGCAACATCACAACACTGACATTTCATTTAATAAACTAAATAAGATCAATGGATTCATAAACTTGCATCTATGACTGAGCCATACATTAGGTTGCAAATCAACCTTGATCTGCAGTGATAGAGGAACTCAGTTGGGATGGCAGGAGGAATATTATAATTGAAGTCAGATCCTTGAAACTACCAGGAAAACCATCAACACAAGCTCCTTTTTCCTGGTCTAACCTCAGTGATTCCTGTTGCATGAAAGATCAAAGTCAATCACCTGCCTTCTAAATACACCAACCAGAGCGTAATAGGCAGAAAATACATCTAAATTGATACAGGAAGGCTGTCAAAACAATGCATTTGGTACACTGTTTTGGAAGCACAATATATTTCCTTTCTTTCTCAACAAGCAAAGTAATTTCGTAAAGATTCAGCGTGTACATACCATGAGTGATATTCAGTTCGTTACCAACAGCCAAACTCCACACTTTCCCTCGAACACTTGGTGGAATACCTTGCCACCACAATTCACGCACCTTCCGTGTATTGCGACTAAGTATGAGAAACAAAAGGATATTTAGACTTGCACAACTGTCATAATTTTAAAAAAGTACTGTTTTTCAATAATGACCTACTTACATGGTCTCCCAGTTGGGAAGAATATCTGTGTTCCAAATAATCATAGCATGAGCAATGCTCTCTTCTTGTCTGAATCGTTCCTTCATAATTCTTTTCCTTCGTTGTGCTTCTTTAATTTCTGAATTAAATTAAAGTTCCCAAGAACATTCTAATTACTATTCACGAGTGACAAATTGTTAGTGTACAATTCTAGATAGATTGCCTCCATTGAAGAATTACAATTTGTTTTCAGAGCTCTAACAATTAGATCATTGACCATCCGAGAGGGAACTTAAAGCTATCCTGGAAAGATCGCTTTGTATGATTGCTCTCTACAATCACCATCTCTCTCTAGTCCTACCCAAGCCCCCCACTTCTCTTCTCCCCCACCACAACAACCACAAAGATTGTTGTTGCCATGAGGCATAATGTGGTTAGGTTCAGGAACTGAATTTGCATTTTATTCTAAGTCACTGATTATTAGCACTCTACAGTGTTAAAAAGTGTAAATAAGTTAACTTTGTAAATGATGGAATCAAAATTTCTTTTGCATGATATTGTGTGTTTAATTGTAGGCAATGAATCTCAGACTATTTCACATATCTCACTATATCATGCTCAGTACCTCGCTTCTTTGCCTCTGCCACCATCTCATCATATTCTTGTCTGTGCCGTTGAGCCTCCTCTGCCGACTTAGCAGGTAGGTGACTGCAAAATAATTTTTTCTGGTAAGTATTGGAGGAACATTTTAACATCAAACATTCGGACAAAAACTTGACTACATGCAGAATCATTTCCTCTATTCAGAGTGAAAACTCCTTCAAAATACAGAGTTCTATTACCCCGCTAATTAAAACTTGATCAGGATATGGTTTTTTTTTTTTTAAAATTCAACACTGGCCTTGGTATCGAAAATCTTGCTTTGTCTCTACATGGTAGAAGTTACAAAAGCACTTACTGGGACAGTACCTATTCAAAACTCAGAACTTTATATGGGAGACAAGATCATTGTAAAATGATGTGCGCACCTAATGATATTGACATATTTTTATTGCTGGAGGTGGTTCAAACTGTTTTCCAAAGATACATTTTAAAGGTGGCACAATCCTTCAAACACCATCTTTTCTCACCTGGGAGATGAACTTGGATAGGGACTTAATGACACAAGGACATCCCTTGATGTGTGAATTTCATCTCAAACGTGAAATATTAGCAAACCTGGCAGAATAAATTTGTCAAGCATTGAGATATACATGCTTGAATTAATTAAATTTATTTTTAAGATGCAATGTCTGCTGCTTTTATTATTAGTCAAAATTATGGTCCTAAATTTCTAGAATTTATAATCAATATTACATTAATAGCAGTGGTTACGGTTAGCTCTAAGACAATGTCAACTAATAAAATTGGCTTTAATCTCAAATCCACATGCAGTGCTGCAATTGCTAATACTATATTGTTGATTTTTTTCTAAAAATGAATCCTAGAATTTAATGGCTAAGAACGTAGCTTAATAAATGGCCATTTTGAAACCAAAATGTTTGTTACTTTCCAACATCACAATTTTAATCCACCATTCATATGCTAACAGAAACAGATTTCTTGAAATGATGCAAGTCACTCTCACCAAATCTCTTCATTACTACGATGTGGATATTAACCCAAAGTCATTAAAACATGAACATCAATCAAGAACTAATTTGGTTATCAGACGAATCAGCATCCACTTTCAACCTTCAGATTAGATATACCAGTGCTTGGCACATGATTGAAGTGTACACTTATTTTTCTTTCATATCTCAGTTTTCTGGTGCAGCCAAAGATGCCAGACTCCATGTCAGTTCCATAAGGATGTATTCACATACGTCACATATAAAGACCATAAGACACAAGAACAGAAATTAGGCCATTCAATCATGGTTGCTAAGTTTTTCAACGCCATTCTCCCACTTATTCCCATAACCTTTGATCTCCTTGCCTCCCTATGCCTTTGATTCAACCTAAAAAACGGCTTCTGCTTTTGACTAAATGCTTAGCCACTATAGGAGAGATATTTCACACATCCTCAGCATAAAATTGCATGCATCATTTGGCTTCCCAATCTCATTTAGGCACTATTTCATTAAATTAGATAACTCCTCAAAAGGACATAATTTTGCTTCAATGCAACTTCACAATACAGCTTAGGGACAATGAAACGGCAATCTCCCAGTAAGGCCACATTCTTAAAACTGACATCGGGCAGAAATAGCAGATTAAGATTGGTTCAACTATCTGATCCTTCCCACACACTTTTTGCATAGATTCCATTTTCTGTCATTTGAACAGGGCTGTTATTATCTGAAGTACATTTATATTGCTTTTTTCCCCCCCTGGCATCGTAACAGTATTAACAAACATGATGAGAGATGCAAATAAACAGTAAGGAATTGAGCTGTATTTTAAATTAGTGTCTGAAACTCATGCACTTTTGGAACAGGACTAATTTCCACATCATTTAAAAGCTGCACACTGAACAATATTGATGATTTAATTAAATACCACACACACAAACACACACACACACACACACACCAGGTTAATTTCCTACCTCCCATACTAGAATAAGCAATATGTAAACAATTAAACTGCACATACTCTACAAATAAATCACCAACAAATGCCAATATGTTTAAGTATTTGAGCAATTTCAGTTTCATTCAATTTTTCACAAATTTCTGCAGTTTTGTCAACAGCTTAACCTGTTTGTTGCTGCTCGGAGGGAAGCTTGATATCATTTGCATAAGTACCATTGGACTACAAACAGATAGAGATTGGGTCAGGTTGGCAGTGATATTTTCCAACTCCTTAATTAATGAAGCCAGCCACTGGCAACTTTTTTTTTTTTTAAAAAAAAAAAAGGGTGCATTGCTGGGATTTGGATAAGATTGGCAAAGTTAGAATTTACTGCTCACCCTGAATGGCTAAGTGGCGGTGTGCCTTCTTGAACTGCCGAGTCTGTGGGGTAAACATGCTCCCACAGTGGTATTAGGTGGAGTTCCAGAATTTTGAGGCAGAAACCACGGAAGAATAACAATACGAAATCTCATCAGCATGGTTGTCAACTTGGAGAAGAACTTAAAGCGAATGGCATTCCCATATGCTTGCAACCTTTGCACCTTTAGTCATTGGATCACAGTATTGAAGCTGCTGTGGCCTTCAATTAATTAAATGACTGAACAGCTGACCAGATATTCATCAGATACGATGTCCATTATATCAGTCGCTATCAGGCAGCACCTACAGGTGAACCACAAACTGCCTAGGGAGAACGTTGGCATAAACAGTAATGCCCAAATTCCTGCTGGCTGAGTCTTCATAGCTATGTTTCTCCTTGGTAATGACTTTGATTATCAACTTGGTTTTAGTGTTGTTGGATATAGAAAGTCCACACTGAGAAAGTCCAAATCCTGTGTCAATTTTCCCTTCATTAAATGGAATTTACAGCACAAAATAAGCTATTTAGCCTAACTGATCTGTACTCATGCTTCACAAGATCCTCACATCCTGCATCATCTCAGTGCATCTCTATATCCTTCAAATCCCTCATGTATTAACTAATTCCCCCTTAATATATCTATACCATTCATTCTAACAACACTTATAAAATGTTTCAAATTCTTAGCACCGATTAAAGTTGTTGCCATGGGGTCCTTGATAGATTTATGGGGGACAATATCTTTATGACAACTAAATTCAGACTCCCCACAAGTGGAAACATCTTGTGAAATATCTTAGAATTCCACAATAGATAACGTTGCATTGTTTTCCATATACTTGAGCTAAATTCATACAAAACCTATTCACTCTAATTTTCTGTGTCTAGTGCTGCTCTGCCTCAAATTTATTAGTTGAAATTTAAAAAATGCAAAGCACAACTTTTCTAAATGATGTACATATTCTACCATTCAACATCTTCAATTTAACATCTCTGGTTCAGCACTCAAATGTGGGAACTTCACTGTATGAAAAGTTTTCAAACAAGCAGTACATTTTCTACAATCATTTCTGAAGTAGTAGACTTCATTCAAATGCAGAAATACATTTTTTTTTGGGTAATGAATTTCATGAAAAGATTGAAAACCTGTGCTCTACTTCAATGTCAAATGATCCTCAGTTGGTGGTGGCAGTGGTGATAGGGATGTACAAAGAAAGACAAAAACAGCATCGGTCTCGCCTACATATAATTGCACCAACTATAGCTTTTCTCTAAGAACATAATACATCTACAACCCTCTATCCCTAACTCTGTATCATTACTTCAGAAAGTAAAGATCTGGACCAATTAAGTAGATTTATTAACTTTTGTATTTGAATTATAAATGTGAAGAAATTCACCTCAAAACATAGCACAAGATTAATCGAGATGCATATTGGTGAAACCAAATGATCTATGCATCACTGGTGACGATTAACTGAGAGAAACTTGCCTGTGTAAACCTACGAGCGCTGTTAATGAAGTATGTCTCAACATTAGCTAATCTTGCAACAAATATTTGAGGCCACGTATTACATACATTGTAATTTTGGGCTCCCTGTTGTCACAACAAAGAAGAACTGGAGAAGGTTCAACGGAAGACAAGGTAAACTCATGCTTTAAAGATAGCTGTGAATTAACAGGATAATTTACAACATTCAATGCTTTTCTTTGGAAGAAATACAATTAACTGGAAACAATTAAAAATGTTGGCAACCATAGTTAATGGGAACTCAAGTGAGTCCACCTTAGCTTTTTGTGGATACAAGACTAGGGAAGACTAGTATAAAACCAAAAAGCCTTATGCAAGGTGACAGACTTGACAATTCGTATCCGATGGGCATGTGGGGTAAGTGGAAATATGTTTAAAGTTTCATTGACTAATTTATTAAAACAATGGAACAGTTTGTTAGAAATAAAAGTTTTACACCAATAATTTTAAGCTACTGACCATGGCTCATCTATTCCTAAGATCATGGGAATGGTCTCTTGGAGAAAGCAAAGTGACAGATTTAACTAAATACTAATATTCTAGGAAATTCAGTAGCTGAAGAATAACTTCCAAATGTCCCGACAGCCAGCAACTATGCACTTCACTATAGCAAATAAAGGTGTTCTAAACCATCCTGTGAACAGATAAAGTAGCAAAACTGTATGGCTTATTACATATCCATCACATTTCCAAGTTCAACATTCAGTCATTATAGGAGTGACCCAAGAAACAGTTGGAGAATGCTAATAAAATGGTTCAAGTTATAAAGTCAAAGCATTTGCTGACTGTTGGTAAATTTGCAATATTAGCATTTTAACTAACCCATTACAATTGTTTATTTTAGTTCAATAATCAAAATGCAGACATTAAAAGCAAATTGGTTCCATCTTGTGTTTTTAAAATATAGGTAACCAAAATAGAAGCGAATTTCAATATTGATCGGGTCCAATTACCAAGGTATCTTGTATTAGAAATGTGCTTTGATATGATTTATGTAAACAATTTGCCAGGTACGATTGCTAAGATGATTAGACATGATGTTCATTGCAGTAGGCATTTCAGATTGAGCACTGTGCAAAGACAAAGTGAAAGAACATATGGGAAAAATCTCTGGAAAGTCAAAGTTTAAAGAACATTGTGCAGTTTTGCCAGAAGGTTCCTGGCCAGAGCATAGCAAGGCTGTGAATCAGTTTGCATGATGGTCAGGGTAGATTTTTTTTCAACACAATGTAAAGGGAGCTAGATATTAAAATTGTGTTTTCCAGAAGCCAACTAGTTAAATGAAGCCTGCCTCTTTAAACTTAATTAGAATGAAATAGAATCTTAAATACCACAAAAACAGCCAGCTTTTCATAGTAATGTTGAGTTTCAGATTTACAACAGTGGATACTCAGAAAAAACAAACAAACAGTCTTGTGGAAATAGATACAATGATGATAGGAGTCTTTAAAACACATACCCTTAGCACAGTGCATGACAACATTCAAGGAACGAAACACAAGCAGTGATTTGTACTAATATTCTTTGTAGACTATATAACAAAAATTTTACATACGCTGGTCGATCTTCTAGGATCAGGGCTGTAGTAGACAGGGGCTCAAACTCAAGATTTCGTCGCCGTACAGGTTGGGGGGGCGTTTTGGTTGCTCGGCCAGTTCGGGCTTCATATTCCTATTTTCAGCAGAAAGAACAAATCAATGCATTGTAAACATATTTTTAGCATTTTGATGTAAATTAATCAAAGATTTTGCTTCCCTTTTATACCAAAGGAAATAATATAAAGGACTTGGAAAATTGGCCAAAAGTCTGACCAGTAATTTCTGCTGATCATTATCAAAGGAACTAATTATTTCCGTAACAACAAGGTGCAGGGCTGGATGAACACAGCAGGCCAAGCAGCATCATAGGAGCAGAGAGGCTGACGTTTCGGGCCTAGACCCTTCATCAGAAAAGGGGGAGGGGAAGGGGGTTCCGAAATAAATAGGGAGAGAGTGGGAGGCGGATAGAAGAGGGATAGAGGAGAGGATAGGTGGAGAGGAAACAAACAGGTCGAAGAGGCGGGGATGGGGCCAGTAAAAGTGAGTGTAGGTAGGGAGTTAGGAAGGGGATAGGTCAGTCCAGGGAGGACGGACAGGTCAAGGGGGCGGGATGAGGTTGGTCGGTAGGAGATGGAGGTGCAGCTTGAGGTGGGAGGAGGGGAGAGGTGGGACGAAGAACAGGTTAGGGAGGCAGGGACGAGCTGGACTGGTTTTGGGATGCGGTAGGGGGAGGGGAGATTTTGAAACTTGTGAAATCCACATTGATACCATTGGGCTGCAGGGTTCCCAAGCGGAATATGAGTTGCTGTTCCTGCAACCTTCGGGTGGCATCGTTGTGGCACTGCAGGAGGCCCAGGATGGACATGTCATCTGAGGAATGGGAGGGGGAGTTGAAATGGTTCGCGACTGGGAGGTGCAGTTGTTCTGCTTATCCCCTTCCTAACTCCCTACCTACACTCACCTTTACTGGCTCCATCCCCGCCTCTTCGACCTGTTTGTTTCCTCTCCACCTATCCTCTCCTCTATCCCTCTTCTATCCGCCTCCCACTCTCTCCCTATTTATTTCGGAACCCCCTTCCCCTCCCCCTTTTCTGATGAAGGGTCCAGGCCCGAAGCGTCAGCCTCTCTGCTCCTATGATGCTGCTTGGCCTGCTGTGTTCATCCAGCCCTGCACCTTGTTGTCTCGGATTCTCCAGCATCTGCAGTTCCTACTATCTCTAATTATTTCTGTAGTTTTGTCTAAAGACAAAATTCTTTCAACAGGACCTATTGATAAATCAGATATATACAGATTTATTGTAAAATATAAAATATCTAATTCAAGGTAGCACAGCAACCATCTCTTTGCTACTCTAGATTATAAACTAATCTAAGTCACCAGCAGCATCCCATCATATCCCCTCCCCCAAATTTTCTGCAGTAACTATGGCACGCACTGTTTTCTTCATTCATAGGATGAGGATGCCATTAGCTAGGCTAGCATTTGGGCAGTTAAGAGTCAATTACATCGGGAATCACATGTAGGCCAGACCAGGTAAGAGGGGCAGTTTACTCTCCATAAATGACAAGTGAACCAGATGGGTTTTTCTGACAATTAACAATGATTTCACAGTCATCATTAGTCTTTTAATTCCAGATTTTTACTGAATTCAAATTCCATCATCTGCCATGGTTGGATTTGAACTCAGGTCCTCAGAACATTACCTGGGTCTCTGGATTAACAGTCCAGTAATAATATCACTAGGCCATCACCTTCCCAAATCCCAATGTCAGGCTTAATTCCCCTGATTATCTATCGTACAATGGTGTTTTGAATTGTTACAAGATCACAGAGTAAAATGGTGCTGAGGCTTTAAAACTCAGGGAAATTTTATTGTTAGTCTTTTTGGGAATAATTTAAAAACAGAAAATAATCTGATCTATTCAGCATGCTTTGTAAAATATTTTGCTCTTACTGAAGTTTCCGTTACATAGCAAACATGCACCGCGGTCCATCTTGTTAGAGTTAATTAAACTTGAATCAAGTGCTTTTTAACACTGACATTTTTTTTTTTTTTTAAAAAGGTTGGTTATATGAAAGTTATTACTTTAAGTACACATTTTCAAATCCAGAGCACAAAAGTTGGTGTGCATACATTTATGGCAGTTTTCACAAATTTGGATATTTATTTTCCAATCCTTGTGCATGAAGCCACATTTTTAAGAAAATTACCTATAAAATACTCAATACAAGATGTTACTTTGTTTAGCAGTTTAAATCTATTACAATACGTGACTACCTAATATTTTTAGTGAAATACATCAACAGGGAAAATGGAAATAAAGTGGAAATACAAGCAGAGCAATGGGGGAAAACATGCAAGCATTCATTTGATGACAACAAGCATTCTTCCTGTGGAGAAGAGGTGATCAGAATGTTGGAGATTAGTAAAAACAAAATACGTTGAGTAGACGTTATAGAGTTAAAGCAGTTTATTTCTACTTTTTAAAATGGTGGCATACTATAAGAAAGGCGCACAAAGGATTTTCAAACAAAATGGTGTAAATGATACTGCTGTATTTGTTTAAAAAAGTAAAAATTCTAATTTAATATGCTACATCAGATCAACCACAACCACCACTCAATTCCTGTGGTCTCAACAGTAATACAGGTTTATTGGATTCCATATGTATCAGCTGAAAAATGTTAGAGCCATTGCTTGCCAGGAATGCACACTACTCTCACAGCAAGACTGCAATACAAGCTGTGACAAGGTCCATGACTGAAGTAAAAGAAGCTCGACTCCATGTTTAGTATTTTGGAAGTCGCTTCAAACTTTACAGGTAGAATTAAGAAACAGAATCTGAAGAATATCTTACACTACAGTGAGAATTGTTTACAGGGCTCTCTGCAAGCAGCTGAGAAACGATATAATGCATAAAGATTAAACAAGCATGTGGCATGAGGATTCTAACTTTCAAACAGATTAAGGAAATCAGACTAGCCTATGTCAGAAAGATGGTATGTTTCTGGAGTTAGTCTGGATAACTTTCTGCAAAGATCAGAGAAGGCACAGGGCATGGTTACCGGAGTACTGAACAATGAGGCAGATTTATTAACTACCGATTGATATTTGAACTCTTATCAACAACAATGGTAATATGATCAAGGAAAATATAGTGATTCAAAAGGGAGAAATGCAGAATTACTGAAGTTTTAGATATATACAAGGTCAACTTCAATACAATGAAAGAATCCCCACAATAAACTGGGTAAATCTATTAACAGATTGATAGATGACTGCAAGGTATTCAGAAAACAAATTTAAAATAACACCAAGCCAATTTATAACTATCAAGTGGAACAAAGGACAGCCATGGACAACTAAAAGAAGTTAATATTTCCAAATATTTGTTCTGACGTTAGTCAATCAAGCACATTGCACTGTTCTCATGATGGCTACAATTGTAAGCCTTGTCTCTATCACCACGAACAGTGACATTAGTTTACATTGATTCAAATATGACATGCTTAGTTGATATACAGTAGTGTCTGTAGCAACTGTAACAAGATTTTTATGCTTCATTTGAACTAGATGCCATCTATTCACCATTGCACTATAACCCCGTCACTCCTTTCTTTGTGAAGCACAGAAGCAATATTAAGTTGCTATGAAAGTATTAGAATACCTGTGCTCAAAAGCTGGATTAATGATAGCACCAAACCATATTCACACGATTGTAACACTACACTGTAATAAGTTTAAAAACACATGTATTAGGAGAGGTATATCAAACAGTCACTCAAGCCTGCTTTGTCATTCAATACACTAATGATGATCTACCTGCACTCCATCTTTGGGCATTTTTCCCAGGTTCCTCAACATCCAAGTCTCTGTCAGGAATGTATTCATTACCCGAGCATCCAGAGTCTTCAGGGGTAGAAAATTCCACAGATCCATAATACATTGCATGAAGAAATTTCTCACCTTGGTCTTGAATGGAGGTTGCATCTCTGTACTATTTACTTGTTAGGTTGCAATTTTTAATGTGGAGGCAAAGAAATGTCTATAAAGAATGGTTTTCTATAGGAGGCATTACTTCAAGATTTGGTGTTACTGGAAGGCCTATTTAAATATTCCGGATTAGACATTAAAACTTCCGAGCCTGAACAATATAGCACTTCCCAGAGCTTGTCACACTAAATGTGCATCTACAATTTTCCTGTTCAATTTGGAAATCTGAAATAAAAATCAAGAAATGCAGCTACTATTAACAATTTATAATACATCACAAAAGAGCTCACTGATTCTGTTTGGTTTGATTTTACACAATTTGGAGCTACAGAGAAAGTTTAAAACTGAATTGTTCAATGAAGTATCTAGGTATATTTCCACTGAAGTATCACATACAAAAAAATGGTTTTGGGTTATTTTACACAATATGCCCAAAGAAGTTATAAATTAGACATGCCAATTATAAATATCAGTGTTAAACAATTAACATAAATGGATAAGATCTTCAGAGAACAAAGTCAAGATACTGAAAAAGTGTAGGAGTAGAATAGTCTCTATTCTGATGTACATCAAAAAAAGCCAATAGTTATTCTAGGTGAATAATTAAAGTACAATTAAGTAATTAAAAACAGCATGGATTTTGATGGTTTAACTAGCCTTTTAAGAAAGGCACAATAATTTAGTCACATTATTATGTACAGTGTCAGTCAGTTAATAAACAGCTGGTGCTTATTATTCATTTCCATTCAATTTATAACACCACAGCCTTTAAAGTTGCACTTTTTAAGTAGTCCTTGATCTGAAGCCTATTGAGTGACGCAAGACCATTTAGGGGACAGAAAGCACTAAATGCAACGAATGGACAGCTGGCACTGCAGTATTTCAACAAACATCTACTATCCATTTGAAGCAGCTTACTTAATACAAAAACATCTCTAAAGAAATGAAATTAAGGTCACTTATATACATAATGGCATAATTTCAGTAGCATTGAGATGGTGTGCCAGAACTAAAAAGTTGAATTGCTCAGACTAATGCTAAACAATCAATTCTCCGTTGTAATAGGACTATTCTGCAGAGGAAATTAGTACATCATTTAGCAAGCTACTTACATTAGAATTTATTTGGCTGTGAAGTT